TATATCTGTGGTTGTCTATTTGCACTAATACTCGCATTAAGACGTACTTTAGGCCTGGCTGTCATCTGTCAACTGCACTTTAGAAATATTATCTATGGTTTATTAAATGGGTCATAAGTGTCAAGTATTTACCGCAGTTGTTAAGCAAATCAGATGATCATTGAGTGAAACACACCATTGGTAAACAAATCCGCCCATTTGATTTTGCTTATCAGAAGCCAGCTGGTAAGGTCACAGATTGTGATCACGTGACCACAGTATGCTGTAACCCAGGGGTAGGCAACCTTGGCTCTTTTATGACTCATGGACTTCAACTCCCAGAATTCCTGAGCCAGCATGGCTCAGCTTGGAAACTCTCCCTTTCCCCTCAGCATGGCTGGCTCAGGAATTCTGGGAGTTGAAGTCCATGAGTCATAAAAGAGCCAAGGTTGCCTACCCCTGCTGTAACCATTGAAAATGTAAGCTCTTGGCCTGCATTCGAATTGTGACCCCTGACTATGGGAATGGTATGATGGTCATAACTCTAGGATGGGTCTCAAATCACGTTTTTCAGCGCTGTCGTAACTTCAAACATTTGCTAAACAAATGGTTGTAAGTCAAGGACGGCCTGTACTTCAGGTGCTATGTGGCCTAAAGTCCCAGAATTAGTTAATTCCTGAAGGAATTTTCTAAGCCCAAAAGGAGCTAGGCTAGAGGGGACAACGTACACTTGGCAAACTGAGGACTGTGAAATTATAGAGGAGATAAGCATTTCTTCTGAAAGGATCTACAGATCTTGGAATATAAGGGCCGTGTCTTCTTGATGGCAACACCTCCCCTGTGAAGATTTGGATGACTCTGATTATTCCCCGCCCGCCGCCCGCCCGCCTGCCCCCCATTTCTAACTCTGTCAGCCTTTTAAGAAGGCATTGAAGACTTGTTTCCTCAGGTATTTCGGCTAGGTCAGGGGTAGGCAACCTCGGCTCTTTTATGACTCATGGACTTCAACTCCCAGAATTCCTGAGTCAGCATAGCATAGCATAGCTGGCTCAGGAATTCTGGGAGTTGAAGTCCATGAGTCATAAAAGAGCCGAGGTTGCCTACCCCTGGGCTAGGTAGATAGATGGGCATACAGATGATGAATGGAGTCAGCTGTTTAACTGTGGGTGCTGGTACGTGTGTGTTATATTTGATTAGTTTGTCTATTGTCTAATCTTGTAAGCCACCCAGGGGTCCCTTGATGTGAGATGGGTGGGCCTATAAATCAGGCAAAAAAAAAGCAAAGATGAAACCCTTGAGGCAAAGCGTGGACTTGGTCTTCTCTATAAAATGTACGCCCGTAGCAGGTGCACAACCATATCTAAATAAGAAACTAAAGCAAGCTAAAGAATGCCAATGCAACTCTCTGACAAGCAAAGCCAAGGGAGAAGCCAGATTCACTTAACCACTGTGTTACTCCTTTAACAACTGTGGCAAGAAAGGTCGTAAAATGGGGCAAAATTCATGTTTCACTTAGCAAGAGCAAGTTTGGGCTCAATTGTGGTCGTAAGTTGAGGACTACCTGTATTATTTTTTTCAAAAGAGAAAAAGTGTTCCTTTGTAGGGAATTGGGAAGAGGGGCTGCAACTCTGATATCAGGACCAGAGAGGGTCCTGATGGGGCACCTATATGGATGTAATGTTTTATAAGTGTATGAGGTAATACCTGATGTTTATTTGCATCCGCAGCTGTCGGTTCTCCATTACATTCTTCTAATCTTCTTTCTACAGCTTGCTGGTTGGTGCACCTCGACAAAAGGCTTTCCCGTTGCAAAAAGCCAACAGAACTGGAGGACTGTTCAGCTGTAACATCGAAACTCCAGAACTACCTTGCACACGTATCCAATTTGATGAGACAGGTGAGCTGGCTGGACTTTTGTTTTTGTTTTTTTCTAGGCAGAATGAAAATATTTATCTAGGAACCTTTTGGAAGAATCGAATTTGGCAGTTTAAGTATGACTGTTAAACGTGGATACAATCCCCTAGCTAGTTTTTCAGCTCCCATTTTCATTGTTACTGGTTTTTCATAATCAAGGAGAGAAGCAACCTAGAACTAAGGAGAAACTTCCTGACAGTTAGAACAATTAACCAGTGGAACAACCTGCCTCCAGAAGCGGTGAATGCGCCAACACTGGAAGTTTTTAAGAAGAGACTGGACAGCCATTTGTCTGAAATGGTGTAAGGTTCCCTGCCTGAGCAGGGGGTTGGACTAGATGACCTCCAAGGTCCCTTCCAACAACATCATCATCATCGTCGTCGTCTCGTCGTTGTTGTTGGCAATTTGAGCAGGTTTTGCTCTTTCAAAAACCACATGTAATGTATTCAAGTATGATAGATGGGTCAGGTTCGTAGATGCTTCAAAAAGTATATATAGTCCCAGAAAAAAAAAGTGTCTTGCATATATATTAGTGTGAGGTCAATTCCCTGATCACCAATTGTTCTCTGTGTTAAAAACAGCATATGATGTATCAACAGAGTGAAGGAAATTCTGAGTTTTCTAGACAAATACAGATTCCCAAGAACAGAATGAGAAATGGGAATAGGATGTTCAATGAACATGGAGTCTTGATTCATTGTTGTGATGGGATGGAGGAGGTATCCAACAAACAGAAAGAGGAATAGTATGAAGAAGATGAATACTAGCAAAGAACACCTTTATTCTTTACTATTTTAATATACGACTCATTACACATTTTATACTATAATGATACAGTATCTCCAGTACTAAATGCAGTAAGCAGTGAAAACTTTGTACTGATACTGTAGACAAACAGCGCCATCTAAAGACTGTTGCGGATATAAATAATATTATTCAGTGAATCCATAGTGAAAATAATAATTTGCACATAATTATACAGAAACTGTTTTAAAAGAAATAGTAGAAATAGATGAAACCTTTTTTTTGCAATGATTTTTTTTTTTAGCTGACCTAACAAAAGAAAGCAAAGAAGATCAATGGATGGGTGTAACTGTGCGAAGTCAGGGGCCAGGTGGGAAAATTGTGGTAAGTTTCCAGAATGTTCTCTGAGCCTCAACATTGTTGGGGTTTTTTTGACACTGATAAACCTTTAGGATTATTTTGGGGTTTTTTTTGACACTGACAAGTCTTCAGAATTATTTTGATTTTATAGATATAGGTACTCCTCACTTAAAAATCCTAAACGGCGCTGACAGTTCCGACGTTGACAATTTCAAGTTCAAAGCACTCGTTGAGCAAAACGTCACATAACCGTGCTGACTTACAACAGCAGTTCCAGTAGTGCTTGTTAAGTGAGACATCACGTGATTGTGACTTGTGACCTGCCATCATCTCCCACTGACTTTGATGGTTGGAACTTGGCTGAAAGGTCTCAGACTGTGATCACGCAAGATGTTGCAAATTGCCATAAGTGTGAGGACTCATCATAAGTAAATTTTTTCAGCACAGTTGTAAGTTCAAACGGCTGCTAAATGGTCATTAATTGAGGACTACCTGTATCCTCATTTAGCGTCTGCCTTGTACAGCAACCATTCACAATTATGACAGGGATTATCTTTGAGTCCCAGTCCTATCCTCACATTTATGATCTTTGCAGGTCTGTAAAGCAAAAGGAAGTAAAGTCATGGTTTCATTTAGTGACCACTTCACTTAACCACTAAGGTGCTGGTCCCAGTTGTCATTGCTAAATGAGGAGTACCTGTACTATTTTAGTGCCAGAGGTGGACAACCTAGAGACCACAAGGAGACATATACCCCCAAACCATTTTTTTAAAGCTCCCAAAAATGGATCTGCTAAATTGGTATTTCTCATCCTGGAAAACTATGGTGTGTGGACCTCTACTCCAGAATTCCCCAACCAGAATTCTGGGAGTCATTCACACATCTTAGTCATTAAGGTTGAGAAACACTATGCTAGTGTCAAAGCTATGAAGCAACTTAGGGATGAATTCCCACAGTTTTTAAAGGGAGAACAAAAATAGCCATTTGAAGGTTCAGCCCATCAAAAATCTGTAATCCCTCCAGCATCCTTAAGAGTCTGGAATCCCTATTTCCATAATAAAACCCTAGCCCCCACAGCACTCAAAAACAAAAGAAAAAAGTATAGTTTAGCCTGCCAGACTAATGTTTAATCATTGTTACCCCTAGGGTTGAAGTTGTGCCGTTGTGCCATTTGGTTTGCTTTCTAATTTTTAGGGCTGTACGTATCTTTTCTTTCTGAATTGTGGAATGAAGTGAAGCGGCAGTATATGCACGCATGTGTGGAGACAGCCAGGGACAGGTTCTTGAGCAGTCACACACACACTTGGGAAAAATTCTGCCTGCTTGAGTGATTTGGAAAGTGGTGTTATGTGTGCCCTCCTATGTATTCTACAGCGTCTCTTTCAAAGGATTTGCAGATTTCTGATCATTTGAGATGGGAACCAGTCTAGAGTTCTCTCTTACATCTTATTTGTGGCTCTTACACACAAGCCACATTGATATATAGACAACTAAAATAAGCTATTCCGAAGGTCCGGTTAACAAAGCAGTGTACATAAGATTGGAAGTGCACTGTTACATTTTATAAGTAAAGCCACATTTCAGATACAATTCAGTCTGGTTAAAGCAAAGACACGCTAATAGACAGGCCTTCTGTGCAGAGTTAATTGTTTGGAAAATCAGCCCTGTTCATTTATGGAGGAGACAGATCTGTTGACTGATCAAATTTGCTTTTGATACTTTACAGACCTGTGCACATCGCTACGAGAAAAGGTATTATGTCAACACTGAACAGGAAACCCGAGACATCATTGGGAGGTGCTACGTGCTGAGTCAGGATCTTTCCATTTCCGCCAATGAGTATATGGATGGTGGGGAATGGAGCTTCTGTGAAGGCCGACCGAGGGGCCATGAGAAATTTGGCTCCTGCCAACAAGGTGTCGCGGCCACATTTACCAAAGATAATCATTACATTGCATTTGGTGCACCAGGGACCTATAACTGGAAAGGTATAACCTTTTTATGCTCCTATCATTCCTATTGTCTATTTCCAGATTTATACATCCTGCATCCTACAGAATAATAATCACTGCTAGAAAACATTATGTACTTTGAACACTCGTTTATGCTATGCACCCCAAAACTGAAGAACAACCAAACAGGTTTCTGGTATTTTACTCTTAAACACAGAGATTGAATTAAGGAAGCGTGTCCAATGACGGGGTGCTTCAGAATAGACGGCAGTAATATTTAGCTTTTCTGGGCATCATACAGACGCCCAGGAAAAGGTGCACCGTCCCAAGGGAGGCACCGACAGATGAAACAAGTGTGCCCTTGTCTCCTGCAAAGCATCTTTTTGGAGTTGCCTTGTAGTAAGATGGCCGGCAAACAGATTTAATAAATAAACAAAAATATACAGTATTGATGTTCATACCTTGCGGAGGCTTATGCAAAGAAAATATCTATGTATATCTGTATATGCACACATAACATGCACACGTTCAACATGCAGATCAGGAGGCATTTACAGAAATCGCCTAGATTATTGCTGGGGTTTTTTTTTTTTCATATCAACTGAAACTCCATTAACCTCATTGAGAAGAAAATTGGTTTGAAAGCCAAAGTAATCAGAAGAGAGAAATCTGCTGAATTTCATTTGGTGATTAAGGCGGAAAGCCCATGGCTTTGCCCCATCTTAGTTAATTTAATTTAATTTATTATGCAGAGAAGCTGTAAAACACCACTCACTCCTTTCCTCCCCACTGTTTTTTTTTCCTCTTGTCCAAGCAGTCTGTTTTTCTTGTGCTCTTTGTTATACCAACAGCTGTGGAATTCTTCTCTGCCCTTTTCTTCTTGTGATAAATCCTTGCAGCGCACACCTGTGCCTGACACATAAGCCCTGTACAATCTTTGTGCCTTGGCACAAGGTGTTTTCAAGTGAAAGCTTACCTCTCCACATGCTGGGTTTTTGTCAAGAAGATTGGACTTTTCTGAGATAAGGTATCAGGTTTAGCTGTTGGTGAACTTAAATTACAAGGAGTTGCTTAGTTTTAAGGCTTTTACCTGTCCAGGGAAAATGCTGTAATTTTGTAAGAGAATATTGTGCCGTGTATTCAATGGTGTAGAAATGTTTAGGTTTCTCAAAAAGTGAACGGAAATAGTTGTCACACTTAGGGGACAGTATTTATTTGACAGAACATTTGAATGATAGATATTTACAAATGCTTGCATCGTTCCTTGCTTGGCTTCCCCATGGCAATCACATGATTGCCCGGGGTTCTTGGCAACCAGTTGTAAATGTAAGCTGATTGCTAAGTATCCAAAAAGCAGACAGGTGATTGCCACGGGGAAGCCAGCAAGGAATGATGCAAGAATTTGTAAATATCCATCATTCAAATGTTCTGTCAAATAAAACTGTCCACTAAGTCTGACAACTCCTTCTGTTGAAGTGCTTCATGGACCATAAACACTCTTTCTGAGCCTCTTTGAATGGTCATTAACAATTGATTGTAAGTAGAGGACTGCCTGTAACCAGAATTCAGCACAAACTGGTGACTGATTCACCATATGCCCCAACTTCATTCCCTGCCTTTTTGGTTATTAGGAGGAGAACATAAGGAACCATGAAAAGCTGCTTTAGGCTTGGTCTCTCTTTCTTTCCACTGTCTGCTCTGACTTCCTGAATTCTACAGAGTTTCAGCAGGTTTTTTTTTTTCTGTTCTGCTTCTTCATTTGCTTCACCTTCTTCATCTTCACCTGTGATCTGATCCTTTTCACTGGACATGCTGTCAGCTTCTCTTTGCAAAGCATTTTTTTTCCATCACCTGTTTGCAAAGCACGTTTTTATGACATGGAGCTACAGCTCCTCTCTGTGGCTTGAAGAACATTCCTATAAATCCCACAGATAGATTTGCTTTGGCATCAGCACATAGGCCACTGCGAGGGCAAAGCTCTTAAAAGAGTTTTGCCGTGCCATGCCAATCAAAACTTTCCAGTGTCCCTCAGAGAATTAGAAAAACATACTGTTATTAGGTATGGCAGGAAAGATGTATGATTCCTGAGATGTCCAGACACAAGATTAAGTGCTGCATGAATGTCTTTGTACTTTGAACGTTGCACTTTTAAGTTCAAAAAGGCTTACTTAAGGCAAAAAGAGAGTAAGATCGTACGATTTTTTAATGACATTTTAACTCTTTAGTAATACCTAAATTGACTCAGCTTTTTCAGTTCTTGATTATCATTCCAGTATTGACCAGTCAACATTAGAGTATCATGTTAAGTTTCTCACCAGCTCTACAGACCTTTCCCCCTAGTACTTGAAGTGCCAGTGATTTTAATGTTTATATCATAGCTCTTAAACTCAACTCCCCCAATTTTGGTTCCTAAGATCATTTGTCTATAGTAAATTCATAAAATGAATTTTTTTTAATCCCTTCTACTCCATTTGCATCCACCTAAGCAGTATGACATGGGACAGGAAATAGATGACTGTGGTTGTGGTTGTGTGTATGTGTGTGTGTGTGAAACATTCAAAACCAACAGGGCAGAGTATTGTTTTGTGATAGAGCATCTGATCTGCATCACTAAGCCACAGATTCTAATTTCTGCATCTCCACATAGCAATGGAAAACGTTGTCCACAATACTGGAGGAACAATTTGACTGCTTAGAAGCCAATCCCTTTTGTTCTAAAGCTATTACTCAGCTGATGCTCCATGCTTCTTCTATATCTTTCAGGAGGCCTCCCTCTCCGCAGGATTTTGGAAGAATGACTCAGGCCACAAGGAGAGAAAGGGATAGGAAGCTTTGCTTTTGTCAGTTTGCTTAATGTATGTTAGGTTCTAAAGTGCCATTTTCTCCTTTTAAATTTAAGGGGAAAGAAACAACTTTCTGATTATCACAAGAGTTAGTTACTCAGTATTCTAGTCATGAAACTGATTTATTTTGGAAATATGTTCTTCTCCCCCCCTCCAAAAAAAAGCTTAATGTAATTCTTACTCATTTCTGATCTCCATTTTTATTTTCAAATTCTCTGGGCATCTGTGCCTTTCTCATTTTTCTGTACTCTTGAAAAGCTCTGATTTCTTTTCCTCCCCTCTTACTGCTTCTAGTCCTTTCTATCTCTTCAGCAAACTTGAATCTGCCAAAATAATCCATCCCAGGCCATTCTCTCAAGTGGAGTATGTTTTGAAGTGTGTTCATGCTACATGTTTACTACCAATACAATATGCAAATTATGAACTGTGTCCATGCTACATGTTTACTACCAATACAATATGCAAGTTTTGCGGGGTGTATGTGTGTGTGTGTGTGTGTGCATATTGCCCTGATCCCATTTTCCAAAATCTTTTTTTGTGCCATTCATTATGTCATTGTAATCAAATCAAGGATAGAATTGGGGCTCAGTGGTGGTCACTCCCTTCATTTCTTTACTCCTTCCATTTTAAAACTATTTGATTTAATGTTCCCCGTTCTTTAACATTCATCCCATCTTTTGTTTTTGTTCTGTTTTGCCATTTCATTCTTCTAGGCGTGGTGCGGGCAGAGCAAAAGAATCACACCCTTGACGAAATGGGCATATTTGATGATGGGCCTTATGAACTCGGGGGTGAAAGCCTGCGAAGTGAATCCCTGGTTCCTGTTCCTGCTAACAGTTATTTAGGTAGGATTAAGCTCTTGAGAGAACTGAAAGGAAAAATGGTCATCCGAGTGGTCCAATTCAAATGCCCCCCAGAAGGTAACAGAGTTATGGAACCCTTACATTTTGATCAAAGCTTTAGCCATTCATCCTGCCATTTTTAGGCTTCCTTCAAAATACAGAGAGCATCCTGGCTGTAGAATCCTTAAGAGCCACTAACGTGACGAAAGATTTAAGAGGTACAATTGTCAACTTGGAAATTCTTATGCCGTGCTTAACACTTCTCTCTCTCTCACACACACAAGACTATGGGTTGAGGATCAGTAGCTCTAGCCTCAGGAATTCTGTTAATTGCTGGTTGCTGAACAGGATGCAAACATATCTGTAGCAAAAGCTTCGAAGGAACACTCCAGAACCATCAGCTTAAGTCTTGGGGCTTCCTTGAAATGTTTAATGACAGTCTTGATAGAGTTCTGCCTTGCATGGGAATTACAAACATGCTTTTAAATGCTGGATGGGGGGGGGATGCGGGACATTGAACATGGGTTCAACCGAATGAACATTTGTATGGCACTTTAAAAAGAATATGGCAAAATAGTTTTTATTAAGGTAAACGGTGAAGAATAAGCACAACTTTGTGTAGCTTTGGTGGCTACACTACACTGGGTCCTGATACCGTAAGTAAAACATAGGACTTGTTGTGACTGTCTGTGAGGAAAGATGGTGCTTCATTTTTTTCACTGGAGACACTGGATGGATCTTCTGTTGTAAGCATTGTGTCTGCCATTGGTTCCTCTACTGCTAGTGTGAGGGACATATACAGCAAATCTGTTTTTCACAGCTAGAATGGAACACGAAGGTGAAAGCTGGGGATAAAACAGCATAAAATAATTTTCCACAAATAAGATAAAAAAAAATAGGTATGGCGGTTACATTTAGTAATGTTTGCTAATGAAAAAAACAACACAGTTTTATTTACATCCCAGAAAGTGTTATCTCTAGACCTGGCTTTCCCACATGGACATATATTGGGATTGCAATTCACATACCTCCCTGCTACCATGGCCATTGGAATTCTGGGAATTATAGTTCCGTAGCATGCAGAGAATGCCAAGTTGGGGAAAGCTGTTATTGACTATCCCAGGGGTAGGCAACCTTGGCTCTTTTATGATTTGTGGACTGGCTCAGGAATTCTGGGAGTTGAAGTCCACGAGTCATAAAAGAGCCAAGGTTGCCCACCCCTGGACTATCCTGTTCCTTGATTAATGTTCTATATCAGGGGTTTGCAAACTATGGCCATGGGCCAAATCCAGCCTGCTGCTTCTTGTTTTATGGCCTACATATAAAAATGGACAGGCAAGCAGGTGGCAGATTGCCAGGCTTGAGCCTCAGCTGAGCTCCTAGGGAGAGGGATGGAGCTGAGCGCCAGGGGTACATTGTCCTAGGTGGTGGCAGCCTATTAGCAGCCTCTTGCTTGCAGGCCTTACCATTTATTGGCTGTCATGCTCCTTGACCTGCAGACCTGCTAGCCATTCCCACAGAGGCAGAGGAGGGGCAGGATCCCGCCCTTTACAGAAATAATTTGCCGACCCCTGCTGTATATTATCACAGTGTATTTCTTTACTGTCCTTTATTTGTACCAGTAAGCGCTTCAGCTGGACTGCATGGAACTATCTATTTTTCTGCTCTCTGCTTAACTTGTCCTCCTTGTCTGCCTTTTCTTTCTCTACTCATCGCTGCAGGTCTCCTTTTTATGACAAGCGTGTCTTATGCCAACCCTGATCAGTTTGTGTACAAAACACTGCCTCCCAGTGTCAGAGTAGACAAACCTGCTGATTTGACGATGAATAGCTACTTAGGTTTGTGACTTCCGAAGCACCAACCCATCTGCTTTCATTCATGACACTTCAGAGATCATTGTTTGACTTCCATTTCAAGTCAAAGCATGTCTGAGGGAAAAGCGCAGATGAGATGAGAGACTTACAGGAGATGGTGGTTTGAGTAAACAAAATCTGGAAGCTATCAAATGCTTGCTTAGTCAGAGAGATGATAATGGAATCGGAAGACCTATTAGACATATGGATCATGGTCATCCTTCGGGTGACTCTTTTATCAAACAAATAAAGGAAACACTTGGGTGAATATAGTAGCACCAAAGAAATGGTATTGGAATATTTAGTCAATAAAATATGTCATCATCACCATCTTACCTAAATCTCTTATCTCACAACGGTGTTTTCAAATTGAGAATTGGAAAGGCAGCAGTGAAGCAATCCAGGTTTTCTTTTCTAACATATCTCAATTTTTATCTTGGTATGAGAAAACTTTTTTTTTTTTTTAAAAAAAGCTAAGAATTAAAAAATATATAATTTGTGGTACATATTCATTTTAAAGTATATTTATTCTTTGGAACGGAATTTGATGCAGATGAAATGGGGGAGAACTACATGTTATACATAATGTGGATGGGTCATTAAACCCCACATCTCAGGGCCAACATCCCTGCCCCATTCCCCATAAAATGTGATGTTATCTTATCTTTTAAATCATATTTTATGATAGTGCATTTATCCACAGCACCTCTTCCAATTGTTGATAATTATATGGCATGAATGGTTATATAGAAATGTCATCAAATGAAATAAATAAGAATAATACATTTTAGTAAAAAGGGAAGCTAATTCGGTAGGGGAATCCATGGTTTGCAGAAGCCTTTTGTTGTGTCCTACTACCTTTTAGTTTTTCATTGCCTATATCGGGTGGGGAACTATGGTCCTTTTATGATTTGTGGACTTCAACTCTCAGAATTCTTGAGCCAGCCATGCTGTCTCAGGAATTCTGGGAGTTGAAGTCCACAGGTCATAAAGGGGCCATAGTTCCTCACCTCTGGCCTATATGCTGCCTCTTGTATTTGCTTAAAAACCAAAGTTTAAGCTTCTTCAGCAAATCACTCATTTAATGTCCTACAGGCATGGCAGGAAGTTTCAGCTCTCTAGAGACTGGCACCTTATTTACAATTCTTCAAAAATTGGCTTACTTGGTAGAAGACTCACAGAGCTGAACATATCTTCTTCGCAATGATATGCTGGCTGGCCCACCCATTTTTCCAGCACTTTTCCACCAGCTTGTCCATTTACCCTCAATTTTGTCAACATTTTGTGACTTCAGCCCTTCATCTTATCAGCATCTTCCTGCTATCACTACTGATCTTTCTGATGATCCATCCCCCTCCCATCTTAAACAGAATTGTAACACCGTTTTTTTACAAACTGGACCAAACCAGCTCCACAATGCTTTGGCTCTAATTAAAGTCTTCCTTCTTCCTATGTAACTGACCTTTAAGGTTTCAGTTTTCTTTTGAAAGAGAGGCAATAGGTTTTATTTCTTTAAAAAAAATGCCACGAGAGAAGCAAGTGTTGTTTACACTTAATTACGCTTAACAACCTGTTTCTTCAGATTTGGGTAATGGGTCTTTTTGTTCCCTGAATACAATGAATGAATTCATAGACGGCTTCATTTGTAATTTCATCTAATTTCTAAATGTATAAATAACAGGTGCCGGGGGTTATCATTATATTCAGAAGGTAACCTTACCCATGCCTGAAAAGAGAATAGTTGGTTTCTCAGTAGAAAAACTAATAGCACTTTGAACATCATTAAATGTTGGAAGAATGGTGGAAGAAAAGGGTGTCACCCCTTCAGAAACTGGAACCAGTAGAGGTGCCTTCAATGACCTTGTCTTACTTGGGTTCAACTCTTGATCCTAACAGCCTCCCAACACTAGTTCAAGATATCTATGGCATCTTCAGCTTGGCTCAGAATGGAGACGTACAGCTACGTATCACTGCTATTCTGATGGTATTTCACCCCAAACTAAGTGACTTCTCCCAGTGGTGCCATCTGAACATTAAACAGCAATAGGAAGAGGATTGAACCCTACAGAATCTCACAACTGAGGACTTACAGTACCAGGTCAATCTCTCTTCCCCTATTGCCACCATATGGTACTGCTACTTACATAAGAATAAAACCAATAAAGTACACTTGCAAGCAGTTCAGGAAGATACCACGGTCAGTGGTAGGAAAAGCTGCTGGGAATCTACAAGGACCAGGAGAAGTGCATTCACCATTCATGTCCTAACAAAGCAACCAGAAACAACCAAAGACATCATTGTGTCTGAATCCAGATTGAAACAGTTCTATATAATTCACTTCCTGGTAAGCACTTTGTAGCTGATACCACACTGTTTCTCAAGCGTGTTCTGAACAAAAAGAAAATTGAAGATTTAATGATAAACAAAAATTATCAGGTACAGGGATGGCTTCTTGATGGGGATACACTATCACCCTCTTCTTGGTTGGTGGAAACCTTCTCTTTCAATGAGCCCTTAGGTCAGGGGTAGTCAACCTTGGCTCTTTTATGACTCGTGGACTTCAACTCCCAGAATTCCTGAGCCAGCTAAGCTGGCTCAGGAATTCTGGGAATTGAAGTCCACGAGTCATAAAAGAGCCAAGGTTGACTACCTCTGCCTTAGGTCATAGAGAGCACCTTCTCCATCGGAGTCTACAGGCTGAGAAGATTCCTAGGTAACCTTGCAGGACATTGTTCAAGGCATCACATTGGATTCTGTCCACAAAAAGTCAAGATTGCAGCAAATTTGAGGGACTTTATCAGCAAAATATTGGTCCCAGGAAGGTGCGGTTCTTCTTGCTCAATGTACCCTAACAGAGAATAGGCAACCTTAAGCAATGCCACTGGAAGGCAACCCACTGATGCCGTAAGAATGGAGAAGCAAGCGTGCATCGTTATTCTTATAACCATGGTGTAGGCTTAAACATACGCTTGGTCAGATTTAAGTTTGAACTTTCTCCGCCAGCATGAAAGGTGTTTCTTCTATGGTTTTCATCTCCTGAAAGTCCTCAGTAAACCAAGAGACTTCCTAGGATCAACTAATGACAAAAGGCCACTTGGAAGCAATTATATCCAGAACCTTGATTGTTTCCCAATTCCTGGCTCTCTGTAGAATTGCATTCCAAATTGTTGGGAAGGTCCCCAAGTATTTGAAAACAGCCCTGATCCATTTCTGCCTAGACTGCCTGGGTCTTGAGACAACCCAAACTGTGTGGCCCACCCACACTCACACCCAACATCCCACTGCCGTAAGCACCCGGCAAACTCACCATTGTTTTTTGTGGGCCAAAGATTAAAGATGATATTTGCCCATAGTATTTAAAGTTCTGACAGGAAAGAGAGAATTAAAAAAAATGGAAAGGTAAACAGAGTGATGCACCTGATTTACAATCCCCCCCCGTTGATTGAAGGAATGGTAAAATATCAATATTATAAATGGCTAAGGATAATCACTGTGTATAACATGGAGTTCTGTTCGCAGCATTGCTTTTATGCAGGTGATTTTTCTGGAGTTTTTTGTTTTCACATTCTTGAAGGACTTTATCCAGGTGCCTCTAGTAATTACACCACTGCTGCTCCCAAAACTGGAAGTATATTTGGCTGGGGCTGTGTGAGTCCTATAAAAACTAATGTAGAGTATTTGGCAAATTAATCCTGGTTTGACATTTTTGGCAAAGCATGCCCTTTTTTGAGATGTGAGAGTATGAGCCATTTCCCACGATAGTATGAACTTTCATTGAACATCATAGGGTTGCTGTAGCTAAGGGGCACAGTCATTTTAAAGTGCATGCAAGGTGTTTTTTTTGTTTGTTAATGTTCACTCATCTCTGAAATGCATTGCATGCATAATTAGTCAATATATTGAAGAGGTTGTCTTTGTATGTATGTACACACTGTATATATGTGCCTATGTGTCTGTCTTTCTGTTTGTGTTATCAGAGGGTGGGAAATTGCAATCTATTGCACCTCTGTCTTCTTCATCCTCTTTCCCTTTTGCATTTTGGTTTTGTGATGTGTATTGAAAAGCGAATAAATGGGTGTTATATATGAAAATGGTGGGTGGATATATAAAAATAAATGAAAGGATGTTTGAGGTCTGCACTGATGGACTGAGGGTTGGATACATAAAAGTGTACATCGGATGTGGTATTTGTGTCTCTGTGTGTGAAGGAGGGAGGGAGGGATGGGAGAGAAAATTGTCTTTTTTTTGTTTTGATCAGCTTTACTCAAACAAGCAGGTCTGGAGACCGTGGAAATTATAGTCCAATGCATACAGATGTTTAGGAAAATGAAAAGACCCTCCTCAGTCTCAACTTTGTAAGACTCAAGAGTCTTACCCTGTTGCTCCTTCTCTTGCAAAAACAAAAAAACAAAAAACAAAACAAGGGGAGGAAGAAAAAGGTACCTGGAGAAGAGAATATTTATAGCTCAGGGTTGAAATGAGGGGTCTTTGGTGTTTTCTGAGCTTGGTTGTTTTCTTGAAGACGTTTCATTACCAAATTAGGTAACATAATCAGTGCAAATCAGGATTGGGGTTTGCTCTCCTTTGAGTACCAAGGACCCCAAAGAGAAAGGTGTGAGGCAGATAAAACTGGTGCTGATCCGAACTTTCGTCTTACTTACTGTTGGCCCAGAGCTTCCCAAGATATCTCTAAGGAGAGGCCTCTATAGAAAAGGTCTATCCCGAGAAGCATGCAGCTTTGGCCTTTCAACAATTTGCTGGCAGTTTTTGCTTTGATGTGTCTAAAAGTCAGGGAGTGTGTTTTCCTGTAACCTGGAGCTCCTTTTTCTTAAAAAGAAAAAAAATATCTTTGTGTGATATACAGGCATACCTATCCCATTTTCCTAACCCTCCTTTAACATAACAATAGTTGCCAGGCATTACAGGTCAGAGTGTGAGGTGTTTTTAGCTGAACATTTGTGTTCTGTTTTAGGGTTTTCTTTGGACTCTGGAAAAGGGATCGTTTCTAAGGAGGAGGTCACTTTTGTTTCTGGTGCCCCGCGAGCCAACCATAGTGGGGCGGTGGTCCTGCTGAAAAAAGACAGTGACATCCAGCGGGCCTTGTCCTCTGTACACATATTTGAAGGCGAAGGGCTTGCCTCTTCCTTCGGCTATGATGTGGCTGTTGTGGACCTCAACAATGATGGGTGAGATTCCTCTCCTTCACCCCTCCCAGTCGCTTTTCTGTGGCCTGTGATCCGATCTTTTTGGCAAAGTGGGAGCAGAACTGGGCTCTTTCCCTGCAACTCAGAAATAGCAGAGGGCAACAACAGCCTATGCAACATCCCCTGTATCCGTTTCAGAAAAGCCACCGGCCAGATCTCTTATACTTTAAACAAAAAATCCAAATGCATGCAACAAGTATCAAGTTCAGGAAAGCTAAAAAGACGACGATGGAGAACTTAGATTCTAGAATTTAAACTATATACATCATAGCAATAAATTTTGATGGAATCACGCTTAGCTTTGTAGAGTGATGTACATATTTACTCAGAAGCAAGTCTGGGTCCAAAAGTGGAATCTCATAAATGCTATGAGATGACCACCTATTGGAATCGTAACAACCAGCATTGCAGGACCTTTATGACAATCAATCACTGAAAGATTATTATAAAGCAACAATATAAGAGGGCTTCCCAAATGCGATCTCCTGCAGTTTCCATCATTCCTATCCAAGAGTGGCTCTTCATTGTTGAAACTTTTAAAGCTGCACTTAAGGATTTTTTCTTCACAGATGATTATATATCAGAGCATGCAGTCTTATTGCACTGAGGTAACCCAGGAGTAAATACAGTAAACAGTGGTTTGTATTTAAATGATGGTTTATATTACACTGTATCTACAAATATACACTAGAAATAAAATACATACATGTGGTGAAACAGCAAACTCCAATACACAGCAATTACAGCAATCAAACAGATAGAGAGAGAAAGACTCCAGCAAAAAACTTCCCTTTTATACTCAGACTCTTAAAGGAATACACACATCTGCTGAGTTATTCCTATTATTGCATCATCCACATTACATTACATCAGCTGGTTAGCCTTTAAATTATTACCTTGACAATATGGTGGTTAGCACGTAGCTGATTTGGCTGATTGCAAGGGGGGGGGAAGTAGGATTAAAACTGGTTAGTATTTGGAAATTATCAGAAGGTTATAGCTGGAAGAAGAAATTAAACAACTATCTATTTAAAAGCAACCTTGCTTTTCTAAGCATTTAAAGAAAATTCTAAGTATTTTATAGTATTCTTTTCTAAGAAAGATCTCTATATATCCACAAAGGAACCAGAAATCCTGCTTGATTCAAGCAAATCACTCCCATTTTTGTTCCATGCATTGAGCAGGAGTTGTTTTACTGATGTGATCTCTTCAAAGTTGCTTGGGAGTATTTTTTTTTTTTTTTTTTTTTTGAGAGAGAGAGGGAGGACTTAAAACCTTTTTTGCTCTACTTTTTTCAGTTGGCAAGATATTGTGGTTGGAGCCCCACAGTATTTTGAAAAAGAAGGAGGAATTGGCGGTGCTGCATATGTGTATATTAATCAGGAAGGCAAATGGGACAGAGTAAACCCAATTCGCCTCAATGGATCTAAAGATTCCATGTTTGGGATTGCAGTTGAAAACGTTGGTGATGTTAATAAAGACGGCTTTCCAGGTAAGCAGGAAAGAAACTTGTATGTATTGCATGGATTTGGATTTGCATGGATTTTTTTGTTGTTGTTAACATTCAGCAGTTGGCCCAAATTATCCAGAAACCTGAATCCAACATAATGCTTAATCCATAGTCCAGTGGTGGCGAACCTATGGCATGCGTGCCAGATGCGGCACTCAGAGCCCTCTCTGTGGGCATGCACAGCCCACAGCCCCAGCCCCGCCTCCCCATGCGGACCCCTCCTCCCCAGCACCCCCCCCGGAGAGTCGTCCTCAAGCGCAGTCTGTGCGGAGCAGCACAGCCAAGGACATGGCAGCCGGGCAGCAGGGACAAGACTCTGCCCTCATGCCCCATTGTGCGCAGATGCTGCTGCGGGGCACAGCTGGAGGGCGTGGCCACTATGGTGCTGCTGGGCCGCCTCGATGATTTGCTGTGGCGGGCCATGGAGGCAATGGGTGGCCCTGTGGGTGGGGTGGGGGCGGAGTGGGGGGTGGGGGAGGAACAGTTTTTGGGCACTCGGTCGCTAAAAGGTTCGTCATCACTGCCATAATCTTTGGAGCCAATAAAATGTTTCTTTATTAATTTATTTTTGTGTGGTTTATTTATCATTTTTATATCCCATGTTTAGTTTTAAAATTAGTCAACAAAGCTGACATCATAAAGCTAGGAATGCCATGAAATACTGAGCAGTGTTTTGTTTAAAAGTCAAATGTTTCGGAACTTGCATTTTATCCTTAGGAAATTTGCACCTTGCAAATCATGTTCTTTGTGGCATAATTTATAATTTTATATTTTAAGTTTTAGATTTGTTTTTTTTTTGTTTTTTTTTTTCAAGTATAAAATTTTTATTATTTTCATCATAAAAAAAAACATCACAAATATTACACAATGCTATGAAGAACCCCCCACCCCCCACCCCCCCGGACTTCCCAAACCTAATCCCAGGCTAATATTCAGATATAAGTAAACAAGTATTAATATCTCTAACTGAAGTTTTAGATTTGTTATTTTACCCTTCTCTCTCTCCTTTGCTAAGATTTGTGTGCTTGTTTTGTTATGCCTCATGTAAACAACTCACGTTGTAGAAATAAGGAAGATCAGCCTGAGTATTTCTGTTTTCTTTCCTCTTTTTAAAATACAGATATTGCTGTGGGGGCTCCTTATGATGGAGAGTTTGGCAGGGTATATCTCTATCATGGCTCCAGGGATGGAATTAAAACAACACCAGCACAGGTATTAGCTTTGCAACAAGCTAATAGTGGAATTTAATTTATTTTATCTACTCACTTGCTCCTGAACAGCTGCCCAGTCATTGAAGCCATCAGCTTCCACCACTTACTGGCTTTTAACATTGTACTTATTTTATCTAGTATTATATTGCCCCTTGTGCCCTTCCTGTGGTTTTTCAAACTTGATTGTTTCTCAATATGTTGGATTTAAACACTCACCATTTTAGCCAGACAAGGCTTCTTCCTGTTTCCTTTCTTCCAGAAGTGCTGGTCCACTTGTTTTCTGCCTTTTAACCATCCCTGTTTTCAGCTCTGTGCAGATCGTGTCATATTTAATTTTATTTATTTTATTTATTTTATTACATTTATATCCCGCCCTTCTCCTTACGGACTCAGGGCGGCTAACAATCAGATAAAATACAAAAATACAATACACCTTTAAAATTAATTAAAAAGAAATATTTAAATCTGATCTGATTTAAAAATAATTAAAACCCCTTTAAAATCCCTTAGGCCAGTCCCGCAAGCTGGAACAACCATGTCTTAATGAATGTGTAAGGAGGAAGTTGTATCATAATCAGTTTGCCATGCATGCATTACCTTTCCACACTCTTTTAAGATAGTCTGAAAAGAACTTTCTATGTAGAATTCCTGTGGGAGTTGGAATCTTTTGTTAATCTCAAACACGTCTTGAGGAATCTAGTGGAGGAGTCCCCAACCCTCGGTCCATGGACCGGTACTGGGCCGCGGCATGCCAGCAACGGGTCTGCACAGACAAGCAAAGCCCCATCCGTGGGATGCAGGCAGCATACAAAACCACGCACCCTCCGGTCTGTGGAAAAACCTCTCTCCACGGGAACCGGTCCCTGGTGCCCAAAAGGTTGGGGACCTCTGATCTAGTGGACCTGGGTCTCTGTTCAGGCTACCATGACATGGACCCACAAGAAGGCTTAGTTAATAGGTAGAAAAAGAGTTTTGCCCCTCTCCAACAAAACTGCTGTTTCTCCTTAGTAGGAAGGGAAGGAGGGCAGTAGTGAACTTGGGAGAACAATGCTGGATTGGGAAGAAGTCATCACATTGGTATAGGCAAGGCAATGCACTGTGTTGCACACAGTCTTGCGCACAGTCACTCATGCCCTTGTCACCTCCCGCCTGGACTACTGTAACGCTCTCTACATGGGGCTTCCCTTGAGGAGCACTCGGAGGCTTCAGTTAGTCCAGAATGCAGCAGCGCGGGCGGTGTTGGGAGGGACTCGTCGCTCCCATGTAACGCCGCTGCTGCGCGAGCTGCACTGGCTGCCGGTGGCCTTCCGGNGCCCCCACCCTTTGGAATGAACTCCCCCCAGAGATCCGGGTGATTCCGGATCTCCCCTCCTTCCGCCGCGCCCTCAAGACGTGGCTTTTTAAGCAGGCAGGACTGGCCTAAGTATTACTTTTAATTAGTTTTCTATTGGTTTTAAAGGATACTAATTGGCCTATTGCAATATTTTATTTTAATTGATTTTAAAATGTGGCATGTTTTTTGTATTTGTTTACTTGTTTTTAACGGGCTGTAAGCCGCCCTGAGTCCGCAAGGAGAAGGGCGGGGTAGAAATCTAATAAAATCAAAATCAAATCACATTGCAAATAACATAAGTATTATGGACAGTAATGTTATTGATGGTGCACCACACCTCCACGGAGAAAGCTCAGGAACCAAAACGCTGGAGATGGGAGAACCATATGTATTCCCCTTCTATTCTCCTTTTCAGTGCTCCAGTTTTTCCTGTCTTTTTATACTGAATTTGAAGGATAGAAAGGGGCAGGAAATACAGGAACATGCAGCATATTAATACCGTTCCATTGATATAAGGAAATTAGATATAGTTTTGGTTTTTTCAAGAGCTACCTTACTTGCAAAAGCAACATGAGCTTTTTAAATTTCGGGTGTTTAAATGAGCCTATCGACTACCAGCATTTAAGCTTGGATCCTTCCTTCCTGCAAGCTTTGGGAATATTTTCTTTTTCAATCAGATTTCTGATTCTTGTTTTCTGTTTCAAATCATAATTTTTCTTCATGTACAAAGTGAAGAAATGACCTCGTATAAATACAGACATAATGTCTTCTAATTGCCATTGATTTTTCCGTTATTCATAAGCAATTTATGCATTCAAGAAATCTGGGAAAAATTGACTGTCTGTTCTGAGCAATCGACAATAAATTCTTATCTCTGTACGTCAATAATTCTAATAAGAGCTTACAATTTGAAAGGAGTGATGAAGAGATGCACAACTCGTTTTCTTATGCATGTAGAATTAGTTGTGGATAGCAACTGGGATGAATTAGAAACTAATGGACAAACTAATTATGGGGATGAAAAATTGGCCAATGAAACAAGGTTAAAAGAACACAGCAAAAGTGTTCTTCGCAGTTCAGAAATGTTTTTGAATAAATGACCAGAATATTCTTTTTATATTGTTTCTGGTTTAGAAAATGCAGTGATCCACACAGGAAAGGGCCTAAAACTTGAAAGAAATTGCCACTTGCAGTTCAGTGATTCATCTGTCCAGTGTACTCCTGATTTTGTTCATCTATTTAATACTGTGGGGGATAGAATTGCCAGTACCTTTCTCTCAACCGGAGGCTGAAAAACATTGCAGAAGAAGGCAATGGCAAACAGCTTATGCAGTATTGCACGGATCTGTTTGGGAAATTGCCAAGAGTCAGGATTGACTTAAAGGGAACACCCCAAGACTTGTCTATAAATGGAAATTGCCAAGAGTCAAGATTGACTTAAAGGGAACATCCCAAGACTTGTCTATAAATGGGGTCAAGGGTGGGAACTAAGTGAAGAAAGCAGTGTTGCATTGTTGTTGTTCACATTATGTCCTTCTCCACTGGCATTATGATGTCATGTCCATGTACAAAAAGGCAGAGCTTCCAGTGCAATGCTGCTTTGGTCATGTTGATGAAAGCATTGGATCTTGTTCCAAAGGTGCTTTTTCAAGAGGTGAGTGGACTTTCTGTTTTTTTCTTCGAAGACGTTTCGCTTCTCATCCAAGAAGCTTCTTCAGCATTTTTCTAAGCTTCTTGGATGAGAAGCAAAACATCTTCAAAAGAAAACCAAGAAAGTTCCAGTTGCCTCTTGAAAAAGCACCTTTGGGACAACCATGACCTGGATGACTGAGAATCTCCATAGACATCTGACTTTTTGAAAAGCTCGGCATAGGTTCCCACATATTGAATGAATACATTCGTTAAAGAGGTAATTTGACACTATGCTGCATTTGTATGCTTTTGTTTTGCGTTTCTAGACTCTTGATGGCGCGACAAATAATGTGATATTCTTTGGGTATTCTATCACGGGAAATATGGATCTTGATGGAAACTCTTACCCTGACATTGCTGTTGGATCGCTTTCAGATAGTGTTTCAGTTTACAGGTATGTGCCCTCTTTACTTTGATTTAACTGTCCCCCAAAATAAAAGAGGTTTTTAAAGTAAGTTTATTCATCTAGTTATCAAATCTGTAAGACCAATTGATTCCACAACAGCTCTTAAGTCTACTGAGGGGTGTGAAGAATATTTTGAATTCAAACATTCTTGCCTCTAATGTGATTTTTATGCAAATGTTGCTTCTAGTGCAAAGTAGATTGTTCCTATCATTTTAGATCAATGTTTCTCAACCTTGGCAACTTTAAGATGGGTGGCTGGGGAATTCTGGGAGTTGACATCCACCCATCTTAAAGTTGCCAAGGTTGAGAAATATGGTTTGAGATGATTTCCAATGTGAAACTGTGCTAAACTTTGAAACATCTCTGCTGCTATTCACGTTGGTCCAGTTTCATGCTCGTGAGATCTTTGTTTTTGTTTTTTATCAGAACCTCAGAAATACACCATTGACAAACAGGTCCAAAACAGTGGATGGGAGCAGAACCAGATGCAAAATAGTGATTGGAACGGAGCCATTTATTTATTTTTTTATTTACTCATTAGATTTTTAAAGCCTGCCTTCATTGCTTTTATAAATATTTTAAAGCAGTGGGCATACATAATACGGGTAGTCCTCCACTTACAACAGTTGGTTTAGTGACCGTTGAAAGTTACAACGGCACTGAAAAAAGTGACTTTTGAAAAAAGGTTACGCCCTTTGCAGCATCCCCCATGATCATGGGACCAAAACTCAGATGCTTGGCAATTGGTTCATATTTATGACGGTTGCAGAGTCCCAAAAATCACGTGATCCCCTTTTGTGATCTTCTGAGAAGCAAAGTCAGAGGGAAAGCCAGAATTCAATTAACAACCAGCTTACTAACTTACCAAGTGCAGTGGTTCACTTAACAGCTGAGGCGAGAAAGGTTGTAAAATGCGGCAAAACTCACTTGACAAGTATCTCACTTAACAACAGAAATGTTGGGCTCAGTTGTGGTTGTAAGTCAAGGACTACCTGCATTCCTTTCTCCTATTTCCCTATGAGTACCGCCCTGTAAAGTGATTTACCCATGGATAGGTATGACTTTAATATGCTGTTACACGAAACAAAGCAGGATAGCTTTCATCCTCCTTGTGTGACATCCTGATCGTAAGACTGAAGCTTCAAGTTATTCTTACCATTTATTAATGTAAAGCAGTTCTTCTTTCCTCTCACTACTTCTATTTTAACGATTTTTCTCTCTCCTTGCTTCACTTCTCACAAGGTCAAGGCCTGTAATAAGCATTAAGAAAACCATTATGATCTCTCCAGACAGAATTGATCTGAATATGAGGAACTGTGAAGCGTCCAGTAGCCTTTGGTGAGCCACTGAGCCTTTTGTTGTCGTTTCCATTTTTAGCACATGGATTTACATGCAAGTGGTTTATGTGCTACCTTTAGTCCTATTTTGGTGTATGGTCACATGGTACAGCCCATTAATACTTTTTAGGATGGTATAGCATGGAATAAATGCAGCACCCCTTCATTAAGGATGGCCCTAATTCTGTTGTAGAGCATGTGCTTTGTATGCAAGGGTCCCAGATTCACACTCTAGCATCTCTAGAAACAGCTGAGAAAATCCAGGCATGGGCAGAAGAAGAGAGCAAGGCAAACAAAGGAGACTGTGTTCTATTTCCTTATTATTGCTGACTTGGTAGAGTTAGATCAACAAATAGGTTATGCAGCAGTCAGGAAGTTTCAATGCTTAGGTATTACTCTCTGCTCAGGTGCAGATCTGGATACATATCCAACACTTCCTCTTCCTGATGGAGTCTGCAACTCTGTGCTAACTTTATTTCCATTTCCTGAGGCTAGCAAGAATAAAGTCATAATGTGGAAGCTTTCCAAGAGATAGAAGACTTTGCACATTAGGTAATTAGCTTCTGAACAACTCACGTCTAGTGCAAAGCTGTGCTATTAGGATAACTGACATACTGGATTTTATCTATCTAAAATGTGTCTGAGAGTCCAATATAAGAGGAAGGATTCTCAAAGAGAGATCTTCCTTCTTGAGTTTCCAATTATTCTTAAGAAAATGTCAGCCATATAGAACTCACTTTTTAAAACCACTTCTATCCTCTTGAATTTTTTGCAGCCTGAACATTAGATCATGTTTTGAATATACAGCTAGCGAGCCTAACTTCAATCAAAAAATAAGTAAGTTTTTATAATAATACTTGTCTATCATTATTGCCTCAGCACATGACAGTACTTTGTTGATCTTGAAAAAAGCTTAAGTAGTTTCTGGCCTTGTATAATACTTGGATAAAAGGCCACCAGGAAGTCCCAAGGCTGTAACTTATAATGGGAAATAAAACATTGAAGAAGGCAGGCAAATCACTTCCATATCGTCAAGCAATGGAATTTGTTTAAGCACCCTTATTACTTTTGTGGGCGATTTCAGAAATTTAGCTTTCTCATTCGGGCTTCTTTGTGTATGTGTATACTCCACAAGGGCAGTGCAGAGAAAGATAAGCCTAGGACGAATTTTCTCCATGGCTACTTTCTTTGTAGATCAATCTTGTCTTTGAGTTGAGTTTGAAGAATGAAAAAGAAGCCAATCTATATTGTCCAGTCTGGATATTCTAGATGTGTCTCAGCTCACAGTCACCAGTATCTGGTCTCTTGAATCTGAAAGATGTGAAATTTGGGACACTCTTCAAAATGGATTGGACTGAATGCCCACGTCAAGAAAAATATCTTCCATTTTATTTATTTTTAATTCCCATCCCATCCACTCCTTCCAGAATTGTTGTGCTAAAATGGTTAAGGCTGCAGAGAGCTGGCGCTCTTTTTGCTTTTCTGTTTGTTTGTTTGTATTTAAAACAAAAATCACATCAGACCATTACTATAATTCTTGAGATTGTCAATCATAGTGTGGCTGAATTAGGGCACTTATGCCAATGAGTTCAAATATAGCAATTTAGCTGTAGCATTTAGCAGGAGTACAGAGCATAAGCATGCAGGAGATATAGAAAAGTGTCTAGTTAATTCCCAATATATATAACTACAGTGTAATATCCAGGGGCATTTTTAAAAACAAAAAGTATTTGTGGGGTGGTTTTCTTCCCAGAACTAGCTTGGACGGAGTGCAATTTTTATTGTGCTGTATCTCCTAGCCTTACTATTTCCAAGTGTTTTGTTTTTTCTTTCACACTTCTCCTTTCTCCAGTTTTGAACTATACATTTGAAGCAGAAAGTGAGAGGAAGCAATTAGGCTTGCCACCAAGAGTGCATTTTTCTAAGCTTCGCTCTGTTCCATTTAGTGGAAGTGTAACTCTCAAAGGACAGAAGGTGGAAGAGTGTGTGCCTAGCAGGCTCGAATTAGAGGTATGATGTTCAATAAAGGTCTGCAATTGTTCTCTAGGGCTCTCATTTTCAGGTTATATTTGGATCAAACCCAACATTAGTATAGGGATGGCCAGCTTGCAGGCCACAAATGAAAGCTGTAGTGACGGCTGCAACTTGAATTTCGTCAGCTTTCTCGGGCTCCCAACTCCCATCCCTCCCAGGAAATTTACTTGGACTATCAGTATTATTGTCACAAAAATCTGGAAAGCGTGCCCACTTCTGTGCTGAAGATTTCAGTAGAGGTCAAGATCAAAATGGTCTAACCTCACCACCGGAATAGCTACAGTATTGTTCCAGTACAGGTAGTCCTTGACTTACAACAGTTCATTCAGTGACAGTTCAAAGTTACAACAGCACTGGAAAAAAAGTGACTTATGACCGTTTTTCACGCTTAAGACCATTGCAGCATCCCCATGGTCACATGATCAAAATTTGGATGATTGGCAACTGGTTCATCTTTATGATGGCTGCAATGTCCTGGGGTCATGTGATCACTTTTTGCGACCTTCTGACAAGCAAAGTCAATGGGGAAGCCAGTTTCACTTAACAACCATGTTACTAACTTAACAACTACAATGTTTCACTTAACAACTGTGGCAAGAAAAGTCATAAAATCTCTTAACAAATGTCTTACTTTTAACAACATAAATTTTGAGCTTAACTGTGGTCGTAGGTCAAGGGCTGTACCTATACTACCAAAGGTGGTTGTTCCTCAAATTGGGCTTTTCTGAATGAAATGAAGCCATTCTGGCGAAGATGGATGAGATATTTCAGGATCAGAATGTTCCAGCCTTGAATTACTTTGTTGCATTTGCCATAGAACTCTACACATGTCGTATTCTCCGCTGTACTATTTAGTAGCACTAGTCCTGCATGTAATGGTCATCTTATACACAGGTATCACCTCCTGGAAGAAGCTGCCATTATATGGGGTAGTAGAAAAGTTCGGGAGGGTATGGTTCACATTTGCAGTTAGGATGGGGAGGGAGAGGAAGCTAAATAAAACAATGTTGGTTTCTATGTTTAACTTTAGTTGTCATGTAAGCCATTATATAATTTTAGGAGACAGGCAATTCATTATATCGTACACAGCGTGTACCAGCTCTTTAAAATTGGGGTGGGGATGTCTTTACTTTAGACAAGCAGCCTACATCTTTAAAATGTCACTTGCATTGCTGGCATTGGAAATATCTAATTGATCTAGATGGCGCCCACCCTGATGATATACAGGATTTTTAAAAAGAATCTAGTGATTCTCCCAAGCTTTGGGATAAAGTAGAGATGGAACGCAAACTGGACGAGTATTTGGGCTATATGCCATTCATCTTTTTATTTTTATGTGTTTGTTTTGTATTGTTGGGCCATCCATCTTTTGTATTTTTGTATTTTTATTTTAAAAACTTTTAATTGAAGGACACCCAGAACCATTGGAAGTTGTGTGGTCTATAAATTGCTTGCTTGTTTGTATGTTGAATGAATGAATGAATGAATGAGTGAATGAATGAATGAATGAATGAATGAATGAATGAATGAATGAATGAATGAATAGCATTGTATTCCAGTTTTGTGGTAGCATGTATTAGTAGGTTTCAAATCAACGTAGTTGGAGTGAATTGCATATATTAATCAGAACTTCCTCTCTTATTTCTTAGGAAAAAATCAAAGATAAATTGCGTCCAATTCGTGTATCTCTTAGCGTTGCAATTCATAGTCCTGAGACCTCTGTAAAACCCAGAAGAAGACAGGGAAGGTCACTGCCAGATCTTACCCCAATTCTGGATGCCAATGAGCCCAAAACTGTGCACTCAGAGGTAAGTTATTTATGAATCTTCATGCTAGACATCTATAAGAGTCTTATTATGCTATATCATGATTAGAAAATCTATTAAAAAAGGAAATACTATCTCAACAACATTTGCCACTTCAGTCATTGCCAGTATATTATTTTGTCAAGAAAAGAAGGTTGCAAGCATTGGGAATGAAAGGTAGATTCTCCTTCCCTTGTTGGAGATGACAGAATGGCACATTAAATTATGTTCCTCTTCTCACTGATAGATGCCTCCGTAGCCTCATTCCCATAATTTTGTACTGTTGTACTCTGCTAAGAGTTGTGAAACACCCGTCCCTGACCTTGAATTGCTGAATCAAGGCAATGTTGATTTCTTACTACTGAATGTTGACTTTTTACTACTGAGAATTGTTGATGGGGCTAGATTAGAGGTCTCCAAACTTGGCAAGTTTAAGACTTGTGGACTTCAACTCCCAGAATTCCTCAGCCAGCCATGCTAGTCTTAAAATTGCCAAGTTTGGAGACCCAGGTCTTGAGAATAATGTTCATGACAAATTGCCACCATTGATTATTCACCTGTCTTGTTCCTGGATGTAAACATTAATGAAATAAAGTAGTAATAGGGAAGAGGGTCTTATCCCGTCCTAGTAGAATAGCAAAGGCACTTGTCTGTGGAAATGAAAAAAAAAAAAAGGATAGGAAGAACTGAAGGTAGCTTTCTGTGAATGCAACACAATGTGATGGGAGTGATAGATTTGATATTGTGTCTGACCTACTGTCCTATTTCTGGTTGCATATGATGTTTTCTTATTTATGGTTGTAAATACTGAGACAGCTGACTGCTGCTCATATTAGTATGTGATGTATATAAAATAAAGCAGATTAGTGCAATCTCCTTCCCCTGTTGTTGTGTTTTTTTTGTTACAGTGGCATTTGAAATCAAACCGTTGAACTTGTATTCTTTCTTAGGTGCAGTTTCTGAAAGAAGGCTGTGGATCAGACAACATATGCCACAGCAATTTGAAGATGCATTACAGATTTTGCACCAAAGAGGGAAACGAGGACAGATTTGCCTATTTCCCCATGTAAGTCTACAGAAGGAATTTGCAAGAATGTGGCACAAACACTTTTACCCTCCAGTTCCCAGTGACGTGATTTGGGTTCTATTTCTCCAGGGAAAACAATGTTCCAGTGCTTGTTCTCAAAGACCAGAAAGATATCGCCCTTGAAATCACAGTGACGAACAGTCCTTCCAGTGCCATGGACCCCCTAAAAGATGGCGAAGATGCTCATGAAGCGAGATTTGTAGCAACCTTTCCAGACAGCTTGACTTATTCTGCTTTCAGGGAGTGGAAGAGCTTTCCGGTAAATAATTCCACCAAATGATGGGGACTTTCAAAGATACTGTTGTTTCACTTAATTTTGGCTTGATGCATCTGTGTTGTTGTTTTTTATTATTATTAATTCAGGAAAAAATCCTCTCCTGTGGTGCTAATCCAAATGGTTCTCAGGTGGAGTGTGAACTTGGAAATCCTTTCAAAAGAAATTCTACTGTAAGTATGGCTTCTTTTACCTCAGAGAATGGGGTGACTGAATATCAGGCTGCCCTACATCTCTGATTGCTGAAATACAGGTAGTCCTTGACTTATGGCCATAATTAAGACAGACTTTCCATTACTAAGCTAGGCAGTTGTTAAGTGAGTCATGCCTCATTTTGCCACCTTTTTGCCACGTGAATAACTTATAGTTGTTAAGTGAATCATGTGGTTGTTAAGCAGATCTTGCTTCCCTCATTGACTTTACTTGTCAGAAGCTCCCTGGTGGCAGATGACATTCCCAGAACCCTGGATTGCTGCAGCCATCGTAAATACAGGTTGGTTGCCAAGCACCTGAAGTTTGATTGACATGACTGTGGGATGCTGCGACGGTCGTAAATGTGAGAACTAGTCATAATTCAGTTTTTTCAGTGCCACTGTAACTGAATGCTCATTAAACGAATGGCTGTAACTCAAAGAATAATAATATCCCCTCATGAAAAAATGCATAATATCCCCTCATGAAAAAATGACTTGAGTTTAAAATAGCAATAGCACTTAGACTTATACACTACTTCATAGTGCTTTACAGCCCTCTCCAAGTGGTTTACAGAGTCAGCATATTGCCCCCCAACCATCTGGGTCCTCATTTTACCAGTCATGGAAGGATGGAAGGCTGAATCAACCTTGAGCCCAGTGAGAATCGAACTGCCAAACTGCTGGCAGCCGGCAGTCAGCAGAAGTAGCCTGCAGTACTGCATTCTAACCACTGCGCCACCGCGACTCTTAAAGTAGGTGGTACATTAATTAATTAAAGTAGAACCATATTTATCCGTGTGATAAAGCGTATCAGAAATTAAGCAAAGCAGCTACTCCTTATTTCTTATGTATGGCAGAAGTCGTAACAATATTAAAAGGGAAGGCGCATCTTTCAGCAAAAATTGAGGATCAAGGGAGTCTACGTAATGTAAAAAGCTAGAAATTATATAATGCTTGCTGTAAAACTTCTCACTAAAAGATTGGCTTTAGTAAATTTCAGTAACAAAGAAGACGCTGCTGCCAGTACATCGGTTATGTCTCTCTGATTTTAATCAATCCCAGCAAATAAACCAGTTATGGCATATATAAGATTTATGCCTGCAATATAGTGCAATCACTCTTTTTATTCCTTTTTTTTTAGGTTACATTTTATGTGATTTTAAGTACAACCAAGGTTAACGTTGATACGAAAGAGCTGGATATCAATTTGAAACTGGAAACGTAAGACCTTTTTTTAAAAAAAACTGTATTCATCATGTTTCCTACTTTGTTTCTAATACTTTGATATGGCCATGCATTATAACATGAACATAATTAACTATTCCTTGAAAGTATCCTTTTGTTTCCTTTTTGTTGCAGGACAAGCAATCAGACTAATTTGGAACCAATTACCGCGAAAGCTAAAGTTGTTATTGAACTGCTTTTATCACTTACAGGGTAGGTGACCTTTACAAATCAGTGGCAGAAATGGTCCCTTTTAAAAGTCATTTTCATATATTTGCCTTTTTTTTTTTTTTACAACAGGGTTGCTAAGCCTTCCCAAGTGTATTTTGGAGGTAATATCGTTGGGGAAAGTGCAATGAAATCTGAAGATAATATCGGTAGTTTAATTGAATATGAGTTCAGGGTAAGTTGGCATGCATGAAAAAAAGGTTATTTCCTTTTTTGGTGATCAAATAAACGTGAAAGTTCACATGTAGTCTTTGTATCTCAATGGCACTTTTTCAAAGACCCATCAGTAGGGAGAATTTGGCCTTCACTTTTCTGACAAAGAGCAAAGCACAGATGTTCAACCAGTAAAGTTGGGTGCTTAAAAATAGAGATAAAATAAGGTACTCAGAACCGTTGCATTTTATATTCAAACTATTTCACATCTTTTAGATTTACCAGTAAATGCCTATTCCTGAGAAATATTTGAAGGGGGGGTAGGGAGGAGGGAAAGTCTCAAACTGTATAGTGATTAAAAAAATAATACCTGCTAGCATTAAAAATGCTATGTTTATTTTTAATTAATCATCATCTCTTGATAGGTGGGTGGTTCTTGATATGTTCGTAGGTCTTCTAATTAATTGCATTTACCCAAAACATTTGTATCTGAAAGCAAATTTCCATCTTTAGGGAGTATATCAACACTGCATTCAATCTATTTAAATTGGTAGTATACACATGCTGTTAAAGAGAAAAAAGAGAGAAGCAAAGAAAGAATCTTGAGTGAGATGACAGTTCATTCCATAGTAAATATTGTGGGAATGTAGTGACTTAGATTTTAAATTCCCTTTAGAGGAATGATGACCACAGGATTCTCACACTGGTAATGAGACAGGAAAGACATTTTGTTTTTCCTTTTGATCCATGGCACCTTGCAATAAACCTGCTCCAGACAATTGTTGGACTTAAGAAAATGGAGTGGGGAGTGACATAAAGGGTTATAGGAAGTTCCTTCCATCAGCAGGAATCTTTGGTGTATCAGAGTCCTGTTCCATGAACAGAAGGAGCACTTCCAAGCTAACAATGTTTATCAGCCATAAGAATCACTAGAAATACTAATTTCAGATGTTCCTAGTCCCTAGGACTCACCTGCCCACAAGCTGCTTATATGAAACATAATGGTTTTTAAAACCATACATTCAAGGGATTTTAATTCTATTAGATTTTTCTCAAAATCAAAGATGCAAGCAAAATAAATAAAATGGCTCACATATCACAACTCATACTATATATGATTATGTTGGAAGTTGAACAACCTTCTTCAGCCTGACCTAGACATTTGGAAAAAGATTATATGAAGAAGGCTATATTGCCATAATAAGCAAAAGGGAAACAGATTTGTAGTAAATTGGAATATTTGCATTTATTTTACATGATAGTTTTTTTCCAGGACGTATCTGCTAATTAATATGAGCAAATGCATGTATTTTATTCCTGACAGATCACGAACCTAGGTAAACCACTGAAAACATTTGGTACAGCTTTCTTGGAAATTATGTGGCCAAAAGAACTGAAAGGAGGGAAGTGGTTGCTATATTTGGTTTCCATTCATTCGAAGGAATTAGGAGAATTACAGTGTACTCCTCAAAATGAAATAAACCTTTTGAACGTTCAGGTAAATTGAGTGCGACTGCATATTTTTCAATTAAAATGGCTCTTCTGTGGCATTTATAAGGGATTAGTGATTGAGTTAGCTCGATCTTGGCTTCTTGAATAAAGAATGAAACATCTGAGGATCTTTGCCTGTTTCCTTGGTCCGCTATTTTGGCAATATCCTGCTGATATTTCACATAATTGGAATGTATGAAAAAATATTATTTTCTTCTTTTGGTGACCAAATAAACTTGAAATTTCACACATAGTCTTGCCTTTGTATCTCAATGGCAAGAATGAGCCAGTTTGGTCTAGTGCAGGGGTAGGCAACCTTGGCTCTTTTATGACTTGTGGACTTCAACTCCCAGAATTCCTGAGCCAGCCATGCTGAGGGGAAAGGGAGAGTTTCCAAGCTGAGTCATGCTGGCTCAGGAATTCTGGGAGTTGAAGTCCACGAGTCATAAAAGAGCCAAGGTTGCCTACCCCTGGAGTGGTTAAGGCACTAGATTAGAAAGCGGGAGACGGTGAGTTCTAGCCCCCCCTTAGCCAAGAAAGCCAGCTGGGTGACCATGGGCCAGTCACTCTCTCAGCCCAACCCACCTCACAGGTTTGTTAGTAAGGTGAAAAGAGGAGGATATATGTTGAATATATTCGCCACCTTGAGTTATTTATAAAATAAAGGTAGGATACAAATAAAAATAAATAAATTTCTGGAATGCAGGCATGAATAGCATACAGTGTCTGTGTGAATGAGAAATGGAGAATATGGATAGAAAAGTTTTCCTTCCTTTCTCTTGAGGAAGACTGTACCTGTGCATAAATAACTTGTGGAATTTTCATACTCCTTGCTTTATAAATTCTGTACGCATTTCATTAAGCAGCCTCTATTCCAACATCTTCCTACTTGTGGCAAGTAAACCCGCATCAACATATTTATATGCTACCAGTGTAGTTATTTCCTCTTTGGTCCCAGTGGGCCTAAGGTAGAGTTTTCTAGGCTCTTCATAACCCAGGAGAATTGGGCTACCTGAAAGCATGTGTCCCATGAATGAAATGGGTATAGCTTGTGTCACAATAGCATGATACTTTTTTTGTCGCTTACTCTGCCTTACCATTTCCAATAAAACCTATAAAGACTTTTGAAAAATATATTGGAATGGAAACTTAATAAATGCTTGTGAACTTGGCTGCAGAATTCAATAGTGAAATCTGCCTTAAATGGTTGTTTTTGTTTATTTTTTTAATTATTTGTAGCATGCTTTATGTTAACTATTTTTTGTATGTCTGTTCATATTTCTAGCGGTCTCAAAATTCACGGATAAAACGTGAAGTTGCAGAGAAGCAGATAGAGGGTAGCAAAAGCTTTTCTTTGTTTACAGAAAGAAAGTATAAGACATTGGTAAGTACTTATTTAACCTTGTCAACTTCCCCCTCAATATTTATTTTGGGAACCAGAAATAAGGCATGTGTCCAAAATAACAGAAACTCCACACGTGCTTTGTTTCTTTCAGATTTCAAACTCTACTAAATGCAGTCTATTGTCAAGTACACCTATTAAACTACACTTAGCACATTTAAAATTGGGTATTTAAATTGGGTATTTAAAATTACCAAATATCCAAAAGAGTTTGCAGGCATCTTAAAGGTGCATAATTTCATGGTGGCATAATTTTTCTCAGATTAGTCTATACAGTGTCAGATTAAGGATTGATTGAAAACTATATTCTAGTCAGGGACAACTTGAAACATAAGAAAGCATGTAAAGGCTACCTATAGCCATTTGGAGAGAGCGAGTTTGATGTAATGGTTAAGTCACTGGGCTAGAAGCCAGGCAACTGTGAGTTCTAGTCTTGCCTTAGGTGTGAAGTCAACTGGGTGACCTTGGGCCAGTCACTTTTGCTCAGCTCTAAGAAGGCATCAAGGGCAAACCACTTCCAAAAATCTTGCTAAGAAAACTGCAGGGACCTATCCTGACAGTTGCCAGGAGTCAAGACTGATTCAAAGAGACAAAAATAAATAAGCCATTTAAAAAAAAAAAGGCTGAAAGATAGTAGAAATATGTTTTATGAAATTACCACTCCCTAGCCTCCTTCATGTACACCTATATACACATTTAGTGAATTTATTCTTTAGTGAAATTAATGAAAGTAGGACTTTATCCAACCAGGTGATCAGAACAGTAGCACTAAAATAAACTTGCGACCTCCAAGGTTGCAATCCCTTAGTTCTAATGAAACCGAGTGATTCCAAGAAACTGAGTGATTTTCCTATGCCTCCTTATTGTGAGCATGGAGTTTCCTGCTATTCTTGCCTCTTTGATGCCAGTGGTCTTCAAGGCTGGGCAAAATGGGATGTGCAACAACAGAATGGAAACAGCTTGGATCCAGTATTCCTGTTCCTCACATTCCCGAGCAACAGCAAAACTATGCCATCCACGAACACCCGAAGTGAATTTCGCATTCAGTGGAGTCCATGCCATGTGGACCATAAGAAACTCAACAAGGAAAATAAGATAAAAAGCTTCTCTCTTTTCCTCATACAGATCTACTCCTCCCTCTCTCTTAGGATTACTCTGTAAATGTTTTCCCATTTGTTTTGGAAAAAAAATCTTGCTGTGTCATAGGGCTACAGGAACCTTGCAAAAAAAAATAAAATGCTGTATATCTGGTTTTGAGTTAAGGTTTGTTTGAAAGCTTTCTGTGTATTACTTGCAGGAATGCAATGAAGAGGCAAACTGCGTCAACGTAACATGTTCCTTGCAAGGCTTAGACAGTAAAGCCATAGTAGTACTGCGCTCAAGGTTGTGGAACAGCACTTTTCTAGAGGTAGGTTCCATAAACTTATCTTATACACATTTGAACTGAGTTCTTGTATTTGTTCTTAAGAAAGATTATTTTACTACTCTATAGGAATTCTATAAAATGAACTATCTAGACATTCCTGTTAGAGCTAGAATTGGCATTTCTGCTGCGGATAACGTCAAGCTGGCAAATGAAGCTACAAATGTGAGTCTGCAATATTTCTCTACTTATGGCTGTCATAAGAGTGAATCACTGACTGTAATTCCTTCCTTCCTCCCTCCCTCCCTCCCTCCCTCCCTCCCTCCCTCTCTCCTTCCTTCGGTCAATAATTTCTAAATGTTAATTATTCCTTTTCCTTAAATAGCATTTAGAAATTCATCATTTCCAGAGCTGGCTCCCAAAGAATCTCTCTAGTACTGTTTAGGGGAGGCAAATGATTGTGCATTGTTGTTGTGAATTAGTAAAAATGTAGTGAGCGATCTCAAAATCTCTGCTGTGATCATTGGCTCAATGATCCAATGATTCATAGACCCATCCTCAGATCACCAAAACTTCTCTGGAAGTCCTGAAATTGCTTCCTCTTCATGTTTTTCTCTGCTGTGACAGTGTTTAATACCTTTCAAAGCTGAGCACATATGGATTCTAATAAGAATGTGCAGATTTCAAAAAAGCATGTCTGGGGAAAGAGGATAGTTCTTCTAATTTACGATGTTATTGATAAATCATTTGAAAATAATTTTGCACTGAAATACTTTGTAATTCAAGGGGAGCCTTCCTCTACATGATATATACGATTATAATTCTTAGCAGGGTCAAGAACCCAACTTCCTAGATAAAATGGAATGAAGAATCCAACATGTATAAAAATAACAAAGTGGACAAAAAAAATGGAGTGCTTCAGTGTAGATGTAGAATCAATACTGTAGCACATTGACTAACTTTTCTCTGTGTAATGACATCTTTTTCTGCTTCTTTTGTAGGTACGAGTTACTGTCTTTCCTGCAAAAACAGTAGCTTTATATAAAGGAGTTCCTTGGTGGATCATCTTGGTTGCTATTCTCGCTGGATTATTAATGCTTGCTTTGTTGGTGTTCTTATTGTGGAAGGTGAGCTATTTTATCAACATGCTTGTACATACTTAATCACACATTATTTGAAATGTGCAGAGAACTTTTTGGGGTTTTTTTTCAAAAGAGGACGAGTTTAGCTAGATAAGCATATCTGCATATTTATAAAGGCTCAAATGTGAATTTCTGAAATTCTGAAAATTTGAATTTCTTTTAGAAGTTATTGGCTGTTGAGACCATACCCAGGCAATGGATTCCATTTTATACATGTTAACTTTAGATATAATGTTTCTAATATTTTTTCCATGTGAAAACAAATGTCCCACAACTATAGGGGGAATCTCAGATAACTCCATATTTCTTTTTCCACCACTACCCAGCATCTATGCTGCTGCACATGTCACGATGTAGGGAAAGAGCATATTCGTGTCCTTTCTGTACCTCCATACCTTGCTCCATCTTATTCTTCAATTCTATATACATTTGCTTGAAGTCCCAATAAACTCAGTTGAATTTCATTTTGTCTGGAGATGAATAGGATTGCTGTGCTAATGCTGTTCAAATTAATCAGGATCTGGGTTTTAAAATTCATTGAAGAAATAGGATACGAAGTTCTTTGGGCATCTTTTAGGCATGGGCACAGTCAAAAAGCTTTTTATCAAGTAATTTTGAACACTGAATCAGTGCTACATTTATTCATGTGCTTGTCTGTAAGATCAACATCTGTTTTTTGCAGAAAAATAGCTGTTGCCTCTATAGGGAGCAAACATGTCCTGATTGCTCTGACAAGCATTATATATTTATTTCACATCCTCAAAATAATGATTAAAAAGGCTTGCCAATCTATTGACAGCTCAGGGTTCATAACTGAAACATTAGACCATGCAACAAAGAAGTTATCTGTAAGGGGAAAATTATAACCAGAAGCCTATTGTAGTTATATTACAAGACAGATTTTTAACATTTGGGTACCGAGCAGTCGAGTTATTTCAATCTTTTTCCTTTTTTCTTTTCTTTTTGCACATTAGTCCCTAATATTAACCAAGTACCTTGCTTCCTTATAGTGTGGTTTCTTCAAGAGAGATAAGAAAGATCATTTTGATGCCACATATCACAAGGCTGAGATCCATGCTCAGCCATCTGATAAAGAGAGGCTTACTTCCGATGCATAGTATTGATCCACTTCTGTAATTGGTAATTGCTTTTTGAATTTATTAGCTGCAGGTTGGTTGCGGTGGCTAATGACTCAAAGCTTGCTGCATTTGTTCTGCTGGTTGCCTCGTTTCAAAATATCAATTCTTTTTAATGCTTGCTTACATTCCTTAGAATAATCTTTCTCGGTGCACGAATATGCCAATCCTTCTGTCAGTTGTTTTTTAACTACTGCTTACTTATGCATTTCCCCTTCCACTCTGGAGACTTTCTACTGAGGGTTGGCATCCCAGTCCTAAATATGCTGGCTCACGGTCCAGGAGACTAAACACATCTCTGGAACCCTCTTCTGATTTTTTTTCTATGAAATAAGGACGAAAGTCCTGTATTAAGCCAAACTGGTGGCTTTTAAAGAATGTTGGCTCAGTTCCTCGAGAAATTGGGAAACTCAGACAAGCTTTTCCAGAAAAACAACTTGTCAGCAGCTAATGTCCAAGCAAAGGCTGGTTTGTAACTTGAGTAAACTTTGGTCCTTCTTAGAGCAGTGTTTCTCAACCTTGACAATTTTAAGGCATGTGGACTTCAACTCCCAGAATTCCACAGCCAGCATTGCTGGCTGTGGAGTTCTGGGAGTTGAAGTCCACATGCCTTAAAATTGTCAAGGTTGAGAAACACTGTTCTTAGAGGAAGGCCCTAAATCCCCTATAGTATATTGGGACTCTCTAATACCCCAACCCTTTTTGGCACCAGAGACTGGTTTCATGGAATACAATTTTTCCACAGACTGGGGTGGGGGGGGGAGTGTGCAACCTAGATCCCTCACAGTTTATAGTAGAGTGCGGCCTGGTTGCTAATAGGCCATGGACTGGTATTGGTCCATGACCTGGGGGTTGGGACATCTTCTTTAGCAGACTTTCGATGGTATGAGGAAAGCACTTTCCCAGAATGAAAGTGCTGAGCTAAATTGTCCTTTCCTAGCAAACAACCAGACACCTAGCAACTCCATCTGTCTTATCTAATAACAGCACGTTCATACTTAGGGTTGAAATAGTCTTTGAGTCTCCTTAAAGCTATTTGTGTGAACATTTACCTCTTAAAAGAGAAATCAGCACACAAGTATCTGAATGTGAAGGTTGAGGTTATAACTTTAAACCATAACTCTATAAATGGATTCCATGTAATGAATTCAAACCTATCTGGGCAGTCTTTCCAACATTTAGATGAATGCATACGAAAAGGAGGCCATATAGATACTGTATAATAAACAAAAATAATATTAGGAAAGAAAAATACATATTACCATTAAACTATTTATTAACATTTTCCATGTTGACTTGTAAAGGGACCACAATCCAATCCAATAGTTAATAAAATCCTAATTCAATGGAGTTTTTCTCAGATATTATATATAGAACTGTTATAACTAAGTTATAACTATGTCTACCTCCAGATTTAAGCATCTGTATTTAAAGATTTAACAATTGTTGTCCATAATTGTGAATCAGTGATGCTTCAGTAAGATATGGACTCTGTTTTGAAATGCAAGACATATTTTTTACTTTTTTACTGAGTAGGTAATAGCTTTATTAACACAAGTGCATGCCAAAAGGCTTTACTGCAGTGGTTGCTCTTTCCAATATACGGCAGTTCTCATTTCTCAGTTTTTATGAAAGTTTACTACAGAAATTTCCATTTCATTTTATCTGTACTTGGATCTGCATTTCTTTCTCTAAAGCCTGCCTATTGCATGCTGGCTAATGTTGTGTATACCTTGAACGCATAGATGTAAATGTCCATTGCACTTGTTGGATTGCCGAAATGACCAGTTTAATTTTGCTGCTTTCTGTCTAAAGACGCCGAAATTTTCCAATTAGGAAGACTTCCCAGACTGATCAAAATTTATTTCTCTGACCAAGTCTTTGCTGCAACAGTTATACAGTAAAGTGCCAAGTATGGGTTAGAAATACAGATTGTATGTTGACCAAATGGGCTGAAGGGCAGGAGAAACATTGTGAATTTTAAATAATTAACATGACAAAAAAAAATCTTACAACATCCCCTGGTGATAGTCTGAAAAATAAGCATCCTTTTGAGTAGTTATTGATCCAGGCCATTTGTAAAACAAAGAGAAGAGGCGTTTACTATACGACCTATCCTCTGAAGATCTACTAGCCTTGTTGGCTGATATTTCTTGTACATAGGGTGAAAGAGCCTGTGGACCTTGTTAGTAGAAGGTAACATGATTCATTGTAATTTTAATAATAATGAAGTACGGAAGAATCAGAGAGGATAGAAACTGGAATTGCTGATTACAAATATTGGAGAATATGTGAGTAAACACAGGTGCTCTGCTAGATAAGTGGAGACCTGCCTGAGGTTCCCTCTGATGTATCAAGGCAATACTGCCTCTTTTCATCTCAGAACTGAGCCCCATGGCAGTATCCTCTTCCTTATCCAAGCATTCATGGGTTCCTCAGGCAACTGTAATATCCCAAACAAAGCTCCATAACAATCCCCATGTCCTTGGAAATTTACAAGGCAACAGGGAGGCAATGGTGTAACATGCTGCCAAGAAAATGCTGCAACATTTCTCAACTGCATTTCTTTCAGCCCAAATTCTTTGCATGATGAGGGGAAAAAGAAAGCCTAGATCTAGGGATGGGTTGATATTTATGTCCGTTCATGCCAAGAACAACACTATAAGCAGCACAAATTGGATGACTCTGTTATTCTCCCCATCTTTCTCCAGTGTTTCTGCCCCTTAAAATAATGTTTTAGGATACGAGGAGATGGGAGCTACCTGAATAATACTTTTATGTGTACCTACCTTAAAATTAACTTTGAGCTTGACCCAAGTTCTGGCAGGTTGTCTGGGGTCTAGATTTTGGTATTTGGCTATGGTGCATTCTGATGCCAAGCCTACATAATTTTGACCTCTAGTCTCCATAAACCATACATTCATAGGAATAGATTCCCAAAGGCATGGGTTATTGGCTATAAATCAGAACATGAATGATCAATTTTTATACTTTTACTGAGCCAGGTAAATTATGTATGGTTCTATACTTTGGTCTAAGCAAGGTTCGATATATTTGGGCTGGCCTTTAATTTTAACACCGGATCTCCCAAAAATATTACTAGGTTGACTACAAAGAGAATTTACTTTCGTAAAACAAATTTGAGATTGAGAGTTTCCCTGGCAAGCTTAGATTGCAATCTTGGGTGAGACGTTTTCTATATCTAGGACATCTGGTATTGTTCTTTAAAGGTACGCTCAGTGACAATATATTTCTTCAAGATAGAGATAAGGAGATTGTAGTGCAACATATCCGGGGGGGGGGGGTCCAGGTTGGGTAACACCACACTTGTTTAATAACATTGAGCATTGTGACATTTTCTCTCCCTATAGTGCGGGTTCTTCCAGCGTTCCAGGTACGATGACAGCATCCCCCGCTACCATGCTGTAAGAATTCGGAAGGAAGAAAGGCAGATTAAAGATGGAAAAGCTAAAGAGAACCATGCAAAAAAACAGTGGATGACAAAATGGAATGGAAATGAAAGTTATTCCTAGGGATCCCAGCTAAAATCCCAGATTGGATGGATTTTAAATGTCTTTGAGCAACATGATGGATGCAAGTGGAGGACCTGTTTGTTTTATAATTATTATTTTCATATCAAAGTTGTTTGGGGTTACAGATCTAAATTTTAAGACTCCCTAAACCCGCTTCTTGCATTAACTAATCTCTAGTCTTTTGAAAAAAAATGCAGCCTGGAAAGGGATAGATTTACTCTTCTTTTGGTGAAATTGAGCTATATGAATTTTCCCCAGGTAACAGATTTTTTTGCTTCCACCTTGGTCTCTTGAGAGACTCCCCTTGGGCTGAGAAAAAAAAATTAATGGAACTGGCTGTGTGGGCAAGGACATCTGGCCATGCTCTAAAGGAGAAGGGAAGCAACCTGAGTTGTGTGGTTTGTTAGAATGCTCTTGGCAAAATTCGACTGAACTGCACAATTACTTGTTATTTCCAAAGTCTGAATTACATGTTAGGTCAAGCCTTAAAATTGTTTCTTTGATCCCACTTTCTTGCATTGCTGGAACTTCTCTCACCAGATGTATGATAGCAAGATAATTTTCCTAACAACGAATGGTTCAGTATATTTGTCTTCACTATTTAAGTATCAGAAGAGAATACTAGTATTCTGTCAGGAAAATTATATGGAACTCCAAGTGAGATACAAAACAACGTAAACCATAATGCTTTCTCACTTGTGGATAGTTCTTTTTGTCACTGAATGCTTAAAATAAAAATGGAGGTTTCAGACTTGCCTGCCCATCATGACATTAAGATTTTCTCCTATCTCCCAGCCCTGAATATGTTTACTTTAATCCCACTACTTTCATGGCTGATTGATTATTCAGAAGTGAGACATATGGACATATGGACAGGAGTTAATAATTTACATTAATAGGATAAAACCATGACATTAAGAACTGGTTCTAACCTCAGGAAGATTAGCTTGTAGTATGTAACTCTGTTCAGTTTTAGGAACTGCAATGTTTGGATTTTTTTTGCTTTTAAGAGGTAAATTGCTGGAAAAAGTGCATATTAAGGGAAGTAAATATTTGCTAATATTTATAACTTTGATGTTGTTTTTTGCAGTAGATATCTATGAAATAGTGAATGGTTCTGGATCTAGACTTAGCTGCATTTTGATCCTGTTTGAAACAATGGGACCTAACTGCAACTAATTTCATCTGGATCCAACTCTTTATATTGACAAATTGATGCAATGATGTATGGCTGAATTTCTAAAGGAAAACTCAGTTATCTTATAATCATGTTCTCCTAAAAGCCGCCTTATCTAGAAAGAGTATTTTATGTTTCTCAGTAGGGAGACCTTGGCATTCTGCATCTGTTTTAAAGGCACTGTTTACTCTGATTATTGTACTAATACAGTGTGCAGAAAAGAGTTTATCAGTCCCGCCATTACATACAGTGATATGGACATGTGTTTTTCGGGTAAATTTGTGGTCTCTAAATCTGCTAATTCCGTGTTCTAAGACTAGTGTGTGAGCACCAGGTTTATAAAACAATTTTTAATGTGCAATAGGTTATATTTTAGTAATGTTTTAAATAATAGCATTGCTGAATGTCACTTACACCAAATATATACAGATTTTCCAGTGACGATGTGTGTCGGGGCTAATAGAGCAGGCCACTTTCACCTCTGAAGATGGCAGCCACGATTGCCGGCAAAGCATTAGGATACCGAAGAATTAGACCACATTCTATTAGCCCCAAAGCTCCTCCCCATTGGATTAATGCTGGTTATGAAAGCCTGCATTGATATATACATAGGGTTTTGTCTTTTTAAAAGCTTGAATATTGGTTGTACTTTTTGTATATACTGTAAGTCATTCTTATATATTTATTTTTACCATAAATCTTTGTCTTTAATGGTTAAGCCAAAGATTTTTAATTAGTGAGCAATAGCATATCAAGTTCAGTGAATAAAAGTGAACTTTTTTCCACCAAATGTGCCAATAACTTTTAAAATTCCAATGATCAGAATATTCTCAGAACCTCTTCTTTACACATTTCTAAATTATGTACTAGAGATGTATTGTCTAAGTAATTTGTGCGCTAATGCATACTTACAGATATTTATAGAAGTTTTATATGACTAACTTAATTAAAAAATATAGCAAGTGCTCATTGGGAGTGGGGGAGGGACAGAGTTCTCTTTGTTCTGTATTTGGAACAAGGTTAAATAGTACAGAAGCTATAGCACTTGAACCAAAATATAAATTCAGTAAATTAACTATGGTATTTTAATGGACGGGTTAAGGACTACTGAGTAATTTCCTACATTCCTAAAATTTAAGAATCGTTCCATACAAAATGCCATTTGAAACTTGTAATAAGCGTAACTGCAGTCTTATCATATCAAAATGTTGGTACTGATTAAGTGTTATATACATATGCTAGCATTTACAGTGTATGAAATACCAATGGTCCATCAGAAGAAAGATTTTTGGAACTATGCAATGCATGGCTTTGCAATTTTAATTCCACGTAGGGTGTTCAGAGCGCATGGGACCAAACATCGCACTATTTGTAGCTCTAGGAAAGTAGCCTTATCTTTTCCTGTGATCACTAGGAAGCTCCAGAAAATAGCTGTACAATCCTAGGAAAAATCACAACAGCTTAGAGCTTTAGATGGATGCTGCATTTGTGGTCTTGTGTGCCCTGAACTGCTTTCTTGGAATCAAATCCGAAGCATAGCACAGCGCTGACAGATGTTATTTAACAACAGATAAAAACTATGCAAACCTGTATGTCTATACCTTAAAGAAACAGGTATTATATGTCTTGTGCTGTGTAGTTCAGTATAAAAATATGTTGGTTTGGTGCAGGATGATAGTTGGTTCCAAGGTTTGGTTTCTAGCTATTAATGTCAATTTCTATCATTCCACTTTTTATGGTTATCCAAATAACTTTTTGACCACACATTTTATACAGATTATTTTTCATAAAGCTTTTTTAACTTAAAAGGTATAAGCTCTTTTTTGAAGCTTCAGGTACAAATTTGGTGCCTGACATTAATCCACTAAATGCTGCTGTGGTGTCTCCTCCATCCATTTTATTTATATGTGGCCCATAAAAATAAATCTTAGGTATGATGGATAAATTTTATTTAAAACTCTATCTCTGTAATGGGCTTATTGAACCGAAAAAGTAACTGAAACACTACTATAATTTTTCATTAAAACTAACTGGTTATTCTGGTGGTTTGTCAGAAAAAATATGTAATCAATAAGTAAAAGTATCATCTTGAGTCACATCACTGGTATATATTTATTTTCCACATTAATTGTTACTAACATCTAATGTTGCATCATGCCTGAAAATTACCTGTGGATATGTCTATAAACGTGTGAAATAAATTTTGTATGAAAACATTTTGTATGCTGGTAGTAATTATGTATTACAGTTACTTTAAATTTCTACATACTTATTTAAATTTGGAGGTGCCCAGCAGGGTTGTATCACAGGTTCTATAATTCTTTTGGATTTGGAAGCAATACCCACACCAATATTATTATTTAAGGCTTAATTCCAAGATAATACAGGCAGTCCTTGTTGAACGACCGCTTGTTCAGCAATTGTTTGAACTTATTATGGTGCTGAATGAGGGGGACTTATGAGGATTCCTTGTAGTTGTGGCTATTGCAGTGTCCCCATGGTCATGGGATTGTGATTCAATTGGTTGGCAACAGGCTTACAATTACAACAGTTGCAGTGTCCCATAGTGACATGGTTACTGCTGACTTCCAACAAGCAAAGTCACTGGGGAAGCTGACAGGAAGTTGAAAATGATGATCAAGGTGAGCTTGGGACACTGCGACTGTGCAGGATTCCCCTAATGATGGCAGTGGGAACTGCTACAACTGCTTCTGTTAAGTCAACATAATCACGTGACATCCCACCTTATGACCATATTGCTTGGCTACAGAATTGCTAATCCCAATACCGTTGTTAAGCAACGGTAACCTGTATAGGAAAATAATATAATCACATAATATGAGACAGTAAATAGGGAATATACAGGGAGAATATAACATAAGCCAAAATAGCAATAAAGGTAAAGGTTTCCCTGTCCAGTCGTGTCCAACTCTAGGGGGCGGTGCTCATCTCCGTTTCTTGGCGGAGGGAGCCAGCATTGTCTGAAGACATTTTCCGTGTCATGTGGCCAGCATGGCCATACATACACTGTTACTTTCCCACCTAAGTGGTACCTATTAATCTACTTGCATTGCATACTTTAGAACTGCTAGGTGGACAGGAACTGGGGCAGGAACAGCAGCTGATCCCACTGCGCCCGGCGCTCAGGTCTGATAAACTATTAAACACAAGACAGTAATTGCAAATATTCAAGAAGGCAAGAATATAACAATAGAGTTTATGTTCCAATTAGGAACAGGGAAACATAATGGCAGACCAATCTTGAAAGGTCAGCAAATGTGTAGCACCCTTCTGATTAGGTCTCCATTGAAGCTCCATTCCATGAAGCAGAGGAGAGGGTGTTGACTTATTTTATATAGGCTCTGAAGCATAATTAAACATACCAACTTTTGAATGGCATTGTGGCGCTGGATTTTCTGAAGAACAAAGACAAATGTTTTATCTTGGAATGCTTTGCCATTTTATCAAGACTGAAGAATCAAGGAATCAAGTCTCAGGCGTTTTAACTTTGAGATCATCCTAAACTTAAGAAGTATCTATTTCTCAAGGTTGATTGATTCGAAGATGAGAAAAAGCATCCTACTCTATACCAATGTCTCATCAAATACAGCAGGAGTCCCCAACCTGGAACTGGGTTGACAAGCCAAGTGTCCGCAGTTTGTGCGAATGGAGTTGCGCAAGCGAGTGTGTGCACGGAACCATCCCCCCCCCTTGCTGGTTCGCAAAGCCGGAAAGGCTGGAGACCACTGAAGTACAGGACAAAACAAAATATGGCCCTTAGTAAAATAAGGCTTGGTTGAATTCTGCACTATATACTGAACTATTATATGTAAATATAAAATCACATAGACCTCTAGACTTTCATCTGATTTCAGATTTTTTTATTGCCATTTTAGTTTTAACTTCAGTTAAGGGTCACAGTTGTTACTGAGGACTGAGAATGCCTTTTTATAGAGATCTCCACAGAGGACTAATAATTGAGATATGGCTTCAGAATCTTCGATAAGATTTTGATGGTTAGAGAATTATCAGAAAAGTTACATTTTAACAGGCAAGGTAAAGCTAAGTTAGCTATGATCTCAAATAATATTCAGAGGCTGTGTGTGCATGTTTATCAATGGTTATCTTAAGCAGAATTTATTCCTCTTCCACCATTTTTGGTGTTTGCATGACACCTAAACCATAAAGTCTATAGACTGGATTCACACAACAGTTCAGTTGAAAAGTGGTTGACTGGTTTATGGTTTAATTCTCAGAGCCAAACATGTTTGGATTGAATAAATACAGAATAAATCTTCAATTTATCAGACCTTAGTTTAGGAGATTTCACAAGCAGCAGGCAGAATCTATTCACCATTATCTATGCACAAAACAGTATTATGCAAGTATAAAATCCCATTTGTAATTTTATAGCTTTTAACAATGATTTTTTCCCCTTCTGCAATCTGTTAAATCGATTGTTTGCTTTTTACCTCCCTCTACATATGCTCAACAAGTGAATTGGATAAAAGCTTGGGAGATTTAAAGCTAGCAAGCCAACTTTTGGTTTAAATTTAAATCCAGGAATTGTGGGCAGTGGCAGATATACAAAGTAAAATGAAGAGACAGCAGAAGTAAATATGAGTATTTTTAACTACAAAGAATAATTGGTTAAAATAAAGTCTTATAAGCAGAATAAAACAAAATATGTAGGGGTGGTTAAATTATGCTGGGATGATTAAATTAACTATTTCAGCTTGGCAGGACTGCAGAAACTGAGATGTACATGCTACTACATGTTTCTGATATATTTTACCCCATTGAACAAGTAAATTAGGAATCCAGAACTAGTTATAAATTTCTTTCTAGCTGATTCATGGAGACAGCTCGGTTATTAGGCAGAATTACTTAAATCAGTAAACATTAGGGAAAAAGATAAGTGGCAAGGCGTGGAAAGATTTGTAAGCTAGGAAATTTGCCTTGTAAACTCCAAACAAGGTCTTTACTCGTGGGCATAACAGAATGTTATCCTGTCACCTGACTGAAACAAGACTCAGTTGTTAATTCAGCAGGCATTGTCTTTTTTTGGTCCTAATTATTCAACACATACATTACTCAAATGTATTTAAACTATGTGGCTATAAAGCATATTTTACTTACCAAACTAAAGCTATTACACAAGAAGTTACTTTATAGCATTTTGATTCCAGAACTTTAAAGTGCAGTAATTCTTTTCATTTTATCAATTAATTAAAAAAGACCCCAAACCCTTTAACTACTACTAGCAAAAGAAGAAACCAAGTCCTAACTAAATGTGGCATTGTGATATACATAACTATTGCATACCTCCTGGTTGTGGGTACTTGCTAAAATTAACTGAAACCCTATTAACCCTGAGAGATTTCAACAGGATTTCTTTCTCATACTTCAAAGTCCTATTTGGCTTTAGAATTTATTTTTTCTCTCCTTTATTTTGCCTCTGAGATAACATGACTGGACGGAATGAGAAGAAGATCAATAAAAACATTTGGTTAATAATTAAATAACCGTTTAATTTATAGTTTCACCTGATTCTAGTATAGCCAATCAATATTCGCCTATCTTGATAATATATTGCTCTCCAATAGAGGGTGGTATTCCCAAAGTCTGTTCTCTTCAAGTTCTCCTTCTTCTGAACTAAATGTACTATGCTTTGAGTGGGAGTTCCAATCATTGTGAGCACTTGCTAATAAAAATCAGAGTATAAAATAGGCATTTCTATACAGAGCCCCAAATGAGAGCACAAAGTTGGTAATGGCACTATAAGATTTACAATACTTGCAAATTATCAAATAATTGATCAGCTCCTACCTAGGGCCCCAGGCCTGCACATAGGCTGTTTTTACTGTACTGCAACTTAACTAGGGCTAATGAAAGCCAATAAAAAGTGTTTGAAAAGCTTGGTCCTGCTTGCTTCTTCAGCCAATTTTGTATCATTAGCCCATAATCTTAACTACCACCGAAGATTGCCTTAAAAGGCAAAGAAGGCACATGAACTTGTAAAAGAATTATCTATCTATTCCCTTTCAATGGATAATTACATACAGTACCTTGCAAATTTGCTGAGAAATTCCAGACTTCATAACTATTGCCTTCCTTATATACAGCACATGGACCAGATTGCAGCACATATGTGGATATTTTCTTGGAAATTAAAGGAACTGACTTGTACTCATTTTTATTTCAGCAAAGCAAAATACAGGAAGTCCACGACTTACAACATTTAATTCATTTAGTGACCATTTGAAGTTACAACGGCACTGGAAAAAGTAACTTATTACCATTTTTCACTTTTGACCATGGCAGCACCCCCATGGTCACATGACCAAAATTCAGATGCTTGGCAACTGATTCATATTTATGACGGTTGCAATGTCCTTGGGACATGTGATCCTCTTTTGTAACCTTCTGACAAGCAAAGTCAATGGGGAAACCAAATTCACTTAACAACTAACTTAGCAACTGCAGTGATTCACTGTAGCAAGAAAGGTCATGAAATGGGACAAAACTCACTTCACAAGTGTGTCTCAGTAAGAGAAATTTGGGACTCAGTTGTGCTCATTAGTTGAGGACTATCTGTACTAAAATAACCGAGAACAATGAACAAACTAGAGGAATTTTAACGAGTTTTTTTTAATGAAAAAAAACCACTGCACAGTTTTGTGGTATATTTACAATCCGAAGAAAAAAATGTAAAAGATATTATGCCTGCACACATACAGAAACTTTGCCCAAAGAAACATACTTTAATTCTCCAGTTGCTATAGAAGACCCGGGAGATTAACATAATAAATTGGAATTGATTTGTCATGAAGTTCTGGTTCATAAATCTCCAGGAAAAATGGACAGTAGAGTACAGCAAGGTAGACAGTCCTCAACTTACAATACATTTAGTGACCATTCAATGTTACAACGGCTGTAAAAAAGCGACATGACCATTTTTCACACTTACAATCATTGCAGCATGCCCATGGTCACACGAACAAAATTCAGACGCTTGACAACTGCTTCATATTTATGACCCTTGCAGCATCCCCAGGGATCACATGACCCCCTTTTGCCACCTTCTGACAAGCAAAATCAATGGGGAAGCCAGATTCACTTAACAGTGTTATTAACAACCGCAGTGATTCACTTAACAACTGTAGCAAGAAAGATGATAAAATGGGATGGGAAACAGATGTTTCGCTTGGCAACAGAAATTTTGGGTTCAACGGAGGTCGCAAGTCGAGGACTACCTGAGCCGGCTAGATTCAGGCAGGGCTGCTCAGCGAGGCGCCCGCTACAGCCTGGAGGGAGGGTGACTCAATCCGCTCGTACCTTGCAGGAGCAACCTGTCCCCCACGAAAATGGAGGGCAAGGGAACCCACCTCCTCGTCAAGGTAGCGAAAGGTTTGCAAAGAAAAAAGCGGGGAGGATTGAACGCCTGGTTGCGGGACCTGGACGGTTCCAGCTCGCAGGAGCGAGGGCTCTCGCACTTCCTTTTTACCGCGGGCCTCCGCAGTTTCGCTCCTCCCGGACGACCCAAGCGGCTCCGCCTCTCCGCCCGCCTCCTGCCCCCACGGAGGGCAAGAAATAGCCCGGGCCTTGGCCCGTGCTGGAGCTGCTTTAACCTCTCGGCCGATCCTCCCCGGGCCAGGAAAGGAGGCCCGGTGGGGCGGCCGTTCCCTCTTTTGAGAGGCTGCAAGCGGCGGCTGGAGCGAGCCGAAGAGGGAGGCGGGAAGGCCAGCCGCCGCTCGTCGTCCCTCTGCTTTGCCCGGCGCCCCTCCGGGTGGGCCGCCGCCATGAGATTGCTGCGGGCGCTGCTGAGAAGCGTCTCCCCGGTGAACACCATCCCTCAGCAGGTGGATTTCTACTGCCGCTTCTCCCCGTCCCCGCTTTCCATGAAGCAGTTCCTCGATTTCGGTGAGTGGCGGCGGGGGTCCCTTCTCTCCCCCGGCCCGGGTTGCTCCTCCTCCTCCTCCTCCGCGCGGCTCCTTCCTCTGCAAGCCTCCCCCCCCTCGGCCCACCATTTTCTCTCCCCGGAGGGAGACCCGCCACCCCTCTGCGGGGGAAAGGCGCTTCCGTCTCCCCGGGCCTCGAGGGCGGCGAGGGGAGCGAGGCCTCGCGCGGAGGTTGCAGCCGAAGCAGCCGCGGAGGACTGTGCCCTTGCCTGTCGAGCCCTGCCTATCTCCACCGACTCTAGGGACACCGACAGAGATGGAAAAGGGGTATAGGCGCGCCCCTTACCCCCGAAATGCAACTCAAAGTTGGGCTTACAAAAGGCGTTGTGCAATGGACGGTGTTGTCATGCAAGAAATCCTAGACTCGTGTGGGGTATCGTGTCATATGCTCCTGCCCAAATAGTTTTGGACCGTACCAAATTCCTTGTCATTGATTATAGTGGCCGGAGTTGAAGCGAGTCTGAAACATATGGAAGTTTTGGCTATGCTAAGGTCACAGGCGAGTCCTTTTCAAGGGCGACTCCTCGGTTTAAAAGACCATCCCATTGGTCTTTACCAATTGTTAGTTACTAATACTAGCACTTCATAGCTCTGTCCACAAATACAAACACCCTTAATGATTATTTTTCTTTTTAAAAAAATAATTGTTCAGCAAAATGATAGCCCTACCATTATACCTATTACAGGTAGTCCTCGACTTACAACCACAATTGAGCTCCAATTTTCTGTTGCTGAGTGAAACATTTGTTACGTCAGTTTTGCTCCCCCTTTACGACATTTCTTGCCATGGTTGTTGTTAGATTGGTAACCTGGTTATTAAGTAAACCTGGTTTCCCCACTGAATTTGCTTGCCAGAAGGTCTCAAAAGGTGATCACGTAACTCCGGGACACTGCAACTGTCATAAATATGAGTCAGTTGCCAAGCATCTGAATTTTGATCACATGACCATGGGGATGCTGCAATGGTCATGTAAAAAATAGTCATAACACACTTTTCTCAGTGCCGTTGTAAGTTCGAACAGTCACAGTGAACTGTTGTTAAGTCGAGGATTATCTGTATTGCTTTCAGAAATTGTAATATTCTGCTGTATTAATATGCGTACAGCAAACTGCCAGTACTATGTAGTCCTTCTAAGATTACTCAGAATTACTGTTCCATTTCACAATCCAAATTAATATAGGATTGTGTTCGGATATTTTTTTTCCTGCAGTCTCTTTTAAAACTACAACTGCCACTTGCTTCACTAAGTTTGTTTGAGGTGACAGAACTGATAAGTTATAGTCTAGGAATGTAACTCTTATGCAGTGTTGCATGAGAAAAATTGGAGAACCCCTTAGAGCAGGAGTGTCAAACTCGCAACGTCACGCGATGTGCCGTGAAATATCACAACTTTTTTTCCATTGCCGGCAATGGGGTGGGCATGGTTTTGGCATGACGCATCCAGTCTGCGGGCCGGCAGTTTGACACCCCTGCTTTAGAGGGAAAAAAATCACACTGTAATTCTTTTGGTTCTACTGAATGTGAATTATGCAACATGACTAGAATTTCTACTGAACTTTAGTAAAATATCCAATTGGATATTGGATAACTATAAACACTGTTATTTGGCCTTAGATGTTTTAATACATAATGGTATTGGTATTGTAATCAAAGCAATCAGATATCCACACCAATGTATCCTGCATATATTTTACTTATATCATTACATTGAAAATTCTGTTGTTTGTAGATTATGTCTCATTATCTCCTATTCCTATATGTAGGAGTAGCTGATGAGTAGTGTTATCTCCTGTATCTTCCTTTAAAGATATCATCTTTAGGAGTGGTGCCTTCTGAGATGGTATTGCCTCATCACCTTTACAACACTGCATATCCCCTCTTGAAATGATGAATGCAGAACATTTAACAGGAATAATGAGACAATTCAGGGGGTGCCCTGAACCAGATTCTCTGGTTGGGAGGGCAGAAAGCAGGTCCTGGGCCAGTTCACCAACACATCCCAGTTTGCAATCCAAAAATGCTGCTTTGTTCCACCTAATGATACGGCTGTTCCTGTCATTCATCCTCCATCAGAGAGATTATATTTTAAAATCTTCTTAACATAGTCCACAACATTTTTTCTTTTCTCTTTCAAGTAGCCCCTGAAATGGTATTTCTTTCAAATTATCTGTAGACTTTGCCACAAAGCTATACTCAACTGAAGACTTCTGATATGCTTTGATTATCTCTTTCCCCAAATCTGTATCAAGCCATTGTTTTCTTCAGAAATGGCTGTGCTCTTCAACTTACGACTACAATTGAGCCCAAAATTTCTGTTGCTAAGTGAGACAATTGTTAAGTGAATTTTGCCCCGTTTTATGACCTTTCTTGCCACAGTTGTTAAGTGAATCACTGCAGTTGTTAAGTTAGCAACATGGTTGTTAAGTTAATTGGCTTCCCCATTGACTTTGCTTGTCAGAAGGTCACAAAAAGTGATCCCATGACCCTGGGACACTGCAACCGTCATAAATATGAGTCAGTTGCCAAGCATCTGAATTTTGACCACGTGACCAGGGGGATGCTGCTACTGTCGTAAGTGTGAAAAACGTCATAAGTCGCTTTTTTCAGTGCCATTGTAACTTTGAACAGTCACTAAATGAGCTGTTGTAAGTCGAGGACTTCCTGTAATGGAGAACAAGAAATTATTTTTGTAATATCTTTCACTGCTCCATAGTTTCTTCAAAAAAGAATAGTTTAAGATAACTAAAAAGCCGCAATCAATATAAAATGTTATGCATCTTGAGCTTTAATATCATGAATGTTAAGAGAATCCAGTGTGGTCTTCGTGGGAGACCAAGCCACATTAGTCTAACTACTAGTACAATTCTGAACATCAGATTACTACTTTCTGAATTTATGTAAACCTGTATTTACTGTAATGATAAAATATCATCCAGGATTTCATAGAGAAGCTGTTATTATTTACCACCCTATGATCCTGAATGGAACTGCCTAATGAATTGTTTATAATCTATTCACTGTGGTTTCAAAATTGTTTCCTTATGACGTTTTCCCCATAGGATCTGACAATGCTTGTGAGAAAACCTCTTTTATGTTTCTGCGACAAGAGTTGCCTGTAAGATTGGCAAACATAATGAAAGAAATAAGTCTGCTTCCAGACAATCTTCTTAAAACACCTTCAGTTCAGCTTGTTCAGAGTTGGTAAGAACCTGTTTCTTTTTTAAAGAAAGCCTCATGAAACCAAATTTGAACATTTTACAAAGATATGTGAAGATGCAGAATATTAGAAGCTGAGTCTTATGGCTATAAGGCGCCTAATAGCATCCATGCACTGATTTAGCACAGTGAGTAGACATCTGGCTTATATTTTCTCCCTCGCCACCTACATAGCTCTGTGCCAGAGGCAGGAGATATCAACACTGGTCATGAACCCACAGCCCAGACTCCTAACATATCATCTGTCAACCATCATCATTTACTTGAAGCAATCCCAAGGGCAAACATCTTGCCCACATATACAACTTCATCTTGTGGTTTCTGAGCCTGACTTCAATTAATATTAATATTTACAAACCGAGACCTAGGCATCAAAGCATGATGCGAATGAAAAGTCGTCCTAGTTGAAGAGAGAACATACAGACCCTTGTCTCATTCTGTTTTTGTTTTTTCTCCTCAAGCATATTGTGCTAAATTGGCAGTAGCAATAATGTTACCTAGTGATGTTCTATCCTTTCCAAATTGTTCAACAAGTCAGATTTGGCCCATTTGAATTAATTATACCATCTGGTTGTTCTCTGTACCCAATTATCTTACAGAGTGCTGCATGAATGTAAACCGTTAATTTAGTAAAGCTTATTTCCAAGTGAATGGACATGGCATTGCAACATTTGAAATTGATTTTGAATAATTCTTAGAAAGAGGGCCTCTGTTGTAGGAGGGAAACAGATTTACACGATGAGAAAGTAAGAGTTTGCAAAAGGAAGGGGAAACCTGGAAAAATACTCCCCTTTCCTCTTGAAGGAGTTTCTGATATATTGGAGGCCCTTTTGTTGTGAGGAAAAAAATATTCACTAATGGGTGGCTAGAACATAGAACAGTAAAGCTAGGGAGTGTTTTACTTTTCAAAATCCATATGCTACTACTACTATTACCTACTACCACAACTGCTTCTTGGTTGAGGTAAGATATAATGGGCATTCAGACACACTTGTAAAAATGGATAGAACTTATTATCTTATTATATATGAAGACTATTAAAATTTTAAAAATTATTTAAAAAATTAGAATGTGCTGAAATTTGGAAATAATTATAAAAATACTACTTTGGTAAATTCATATTCTTGTCCTTATTAGGTGAGAGGAAATTGTTTATTTCTCTTTACGACAAAGATCAAACCTACAGAAATTGTGTTTTTAGGTATGTGCAAAGTCTGCAGGAGATCCTTGATTTTAAAGACAAAAACGCTGATGATACAGAAGCTGTTTCTCGGTGAGACATCTTGGCCTTCTCAAGGACAGTGGATTATCTTACGTTTTTTACGCCAGTCTTGTAACATGAGACATTCAGTGCCATATATTATATTTGTTTTATTATATAGATCTCAAGAAACAGTATGGGAATGTAGTATAAAGAAAAATCTCTTTTAAACAATTTAATCTTTGTAAGTTATCAGGGTGGTCTAAAAATAATAAACTCACAAAATAAATTCCACTCTATGTAATTCATTTAGAATTACTTCTGTATTAAAATTAGCAAGGTTTAACCTACATGTACAATCAATGTTTTTTTATTCAATTGATCAATAGTCTGTTAATTTTCTTTAAAGGTTATTAATAATGAAGTGATATAGTCTTATTTTGAGTTCACCCACTGAAATTTGCTTAGAATTTGAGTAACTTAATTTTAATGGCTCCGTTTCAAATTTCAGTAGCTTCAGATGCCATTGTTCTATCCAAAACCTATATGTCAGTCACAGGCATTCATCCTTAAGAAATAATCTTAGTGAGACTTAGGTGGTAATAAATAGTTACTTCTATTGTCATGTATCTCTAGCATGTAAGAGCATGCTAGCTCTGAAGAGATTAAATTATGCTTTTCCGAGGAAAAGGCCCTCCTTAGGGTATATAATCTCTCAGAGATGAGATAGATTATGAGAAGAATTTATCTGTTAGAATTTGAACAGCTGCTAAGTTGAAAAGTTCTGATTGTATTTTGTGTTAAAAGAATTGTGAGATGGACTTTGGAGAAAGAAATGGTGGACTAAAGACAGGTCTGCGAAAAGCGGAGCCAACAACTATAGCAAAGAATGTAGCTTGGCTCTTTGAACCTCTCTGGAAAAAGAAGATGGGAGATCACCCACAAGTACTCCAGACAGTTGATCCTTGTGAGGAGTGCTTTGAGCACTGTGGGATGAGGAAATAGCCATGTTTCTCAAACCAGAGTTAATGTCTTTAAAAGAACATTACGTTTGCATACTTCCTTTACTAATCCTATTCCAAAGTTGCTTATTAAGTACTTTGCACGTATTAGAAACCATTGGGTCAACAAGTCTGAAAATACTGGGTGACTGCCTTCAGCCCTTTTTGAAAGAATTTTTAACTCTAACTGGCTAAGAAGTTTAATTTCTTTAAGATTAAGAACTTAAAATAATTAAAATAAACAGGAAAAAGCTAATTAAGATTTTTATTTTTAGAAAATTATAAATGGATTAGGAGTTCAGATAAATTTGAAGTAAGATTTGGAATTAATTATAAAGAATCCTTCCCATAAGAAAGTCAACTTGTTTTGAATTTTCTCTACAAGAAAGGGGGAGGGGAATAAAAATTGGACTCTAGAGAGGACTAAAGATTTTAATTAAGGGAGAATAATAATATATTTGATTAACAGTTATAATATGGGAAATAATGAAAGATACTTTTGAAAAAACAAAATCAAAAGTAAATATCAACAAATAGTGATGTTTGCTTCTATGGATAGATTATATCCGAAAGATGTTTTGGAAGAAATGATAGAACAGGAAGACGTTTTGTTTGACAAAATGAAATTGAAAGTAGACTTTTGTTTTCTGTTAGCTTTCGAATTCCTGCTGACAGATATCAGTGACCTCTGCAGCCCACCACTATCATTTCTCCAAACCTAGGGAAGATATTCATAGGGACTACTGAGAGAAGAAATTGATTGTTGGAAACATCCTGTGAGCTGAACTCTATGCCCTCAATCTCAGCCATTATTTCTTAAGTATCTAAACCAAAGCAGGACATAACATAAATATAGATGATAGACTTGACCTAAAAATAATTATGACTATGCTATTAGAATACTTTGTGTTTAGAAGTCCAAAATTCATTTAAAAAGATTGCTTTCTTGTCCTGTTTTAAACGCAACACAATTTTGGTTGACTAGTGGGATGCTTTCTTTAGTTTCTTGCTTTTGCAGTAGTTAAAATTTTAGTGACGGGTGTATTAGTATTTTAATACAAATATACCATACTTGATTTCAGTTTTAAAGATACTGTGATAACAATACGGAACCGTCACAATGATGTCATTCCTACCATGGCTCAAGGCGTGATTGAGTACAAGGATAACTATGGGGTTGACCCAGTGACGAGTCAGAATGTGCAGTATTTTTTAGACCGCTTCTTCATGAGTCGGATTTCAATCCGAATGTTGCTTAATCAGCACAGTAAGTACTTTTATTAATTTAATTTTTTTTTGAATGGAGTAGGGTAAGAAAACTTTTAGAAGTGAAGGATTTCAATTAGGCTTTGATGAGCCAAAACCCGCAGTGGGCATAATGGTATTGAGTGGTATTGAGACTGCAAAGCCATTTCATGCATGCAAGCAGATCTGGGGTTTTCTATTTTTGCTTCTTAAGGCTTTGAGGGGAAGTTAAACTATAGTTTTTCTGTGACTCAAAATGGCAGAAAACAGTCATTGGTTCTTCCAGGTCAGAGAGGGGAATCCGGGGGCAATAAAGTAGGCCACAGGATGCCAATCACTAATGTAAAACAAGTACAAATAATTTCCTTTAAGAATAAAAAGGAATCTTCTATACAGCTTAGTATCATCCTTGTTATGAAGTAGTAAATCCTTGCCCATTGTTTTTGTTCAATCATTATCATCTCCCTACCTATAAAATATGCTGTTCATGGCCTCTTTATTGGGAAATCATTTATGTTACTTTGTTTTTGTTGTTGGCAGCGTTGTTGTTTGGAGGAAACGTTGAAGTTAACCCAGCACATCCCAAACACATTGGAAGTATTGACCCTAAATGCAATGTTGCTGAAGTTATAAAAGGTACATTCAGACAGACATGATGAGAAAAATAAATATGGCAAGAAAACAGTCTTTCTGGGCTGTTGACTTTGTACAAGCTCATTCTGTCAGACATGGAAAATTTCTATTCTGCTGAGACACGGTGTTTATCCTTGAGATGTCATTCTGTAGGTAAAAAAATAAATACAATTTTATTCAGATTTTGTAGTAATGACCTAGTATTTGGGAGACTTTTATATAGTGTTCCTATTGCCATTCATTTAATGTAATATATTATTTAATAATGTAATTTTTATTCTAAATTGCATTTTGAAAATCAAGACAGGTATCATGCCATACCATTACAAGCTAGCAAGCCCAATGAAAAAGACTTCTGAGCAAACATGCATAAGATCATGCAATTATTGGGCTATATTTAAGGGTGGAGCCATTGAGGTTTCCTCAAATCGCTAGCCTTTCAAAAAGAAGGATCAGTCTAAAATGCCTGATAGAGGAAGGACAGTGTGCAATGTGGGAATTCCCAACAATATGGAGATGTAAAATTCCCTCCTCTTACAATACAATTGATTTTGATCCTAGGTGCAAAATCAGAGATAGTGCATTCAATCCCTCCTCCATCTTGCTAAATCCCTGTAGCTACACATCCTATATTTATAGAATTCAAGAGTACAGAGACCCTCTCTCTGAGGGAGATGGGTGGTTCAAAAATGTGATGAATGAATGGATAGATAAATGTACAAAATGCTGCTTTTTGTATAATCTTGCTTGTTTGAATTGGTTGGATTGAAGGGGACCTGAGTAAGAAGTAATCATTTTTGTCAGCGAAGTCCCATCTTTCAACTACTGGAAAGCTTTGCCATCTGAGATTTGTACTGGACATCTTCCACCTGTTTTAAGATATTAATTTAGGCTATGTGGGATAGATAAATGCTCTTCTATTCGTGCAGAGAATCCAAACATAGACATAGTTCTTGTTAAAGTTGTAATTGAAGTTAGCCAGAAGTATGCAAGAGAAATGTCAGCTGCTATTCATAGAATACAACAGTAAAAGTTGGAATGTGAATGACTGTTTCTTCTCAGAACTCTGTTTTAAGAATTGCTGCCAGCTAATTGAATAAACTCTGGATGGGTGAAGTCTCTCTCTCTCTCTCTCTTTCTGTGTTTGTGTCTCTTTGTGTGCATCTTTTAAGCAAAATTGTATTGCTGTTTTCAGATGGTTATGAAAATGCAAAGAGCCTCTGTGACTTATATTACATGAGTTGTCCAGAACTTATTCTTGAAGAGAAGAATGGTAAGTATGGAAGGGGGAGGATTGGCTTATTCATGGAAATTGCCTGTTCTTAACCAATTCCTATCAAGTTTTACCATATCCCTTTACTTTGCCTTGGACCTACTTTAAATACTTCTGTAACAGATAGTTTTTTAATTGGTTATAGAACTAGCCTGCTTATGCTGCAAAATACTCTACTTGGTGCTTTGACTCTATGTCATGAAAAATGCTAGAATCTTTTGATAGAGAGAGATGAACAATATTTAGCATATGTTCAGAGTACATCCTATAACAATAAATGTTTTCACATACTCATTTCACTGCAGAAATTGGTTTTAGGAAGCCAAGTGCAATTATCTGTGTCATGTTTTCAAATATGCCTATGGGGTATGGCTGGAATTCAGTGTACACTAATATGCTGACTAAAAATGCAGGGTAGGTACATTTATCTGGAATTTGGGAAGTAGCCTTCAATATCAATCAAGCTAAACCTAAATTAGAGTCTCTCTAATTACATGATATATTCTGTCATACGTTACCTCAAATGGTGCACTAATGCCAAGAAGTCTTTCATTTGCTTTTATTCTTTAGTCTTTTGACATTTTAGCTAACCTTTATTCAAAATGCATTTTGAACTTCTATATCTTGATGTATATGTAGCCCAATTCTCCATTACATTTGGACATCTTATACATCATATGGAGAACTTTTGGCTCGTGAGAAAGCTGCAGTAGCTTTTCAGTGATTATGACTAGAAACAGGTATGGTATGTAATGACCAATATAGACATATCAAAATCCAAATGGATATGTAGTATGAATTTGCGAAAGTATTTAGGTTGCCCCAGGGATTCTATATTGTTGTCTTTCTACCTTTTGATCTTTTGGTAGATGATATTTCAGAAACCTTGGTGGTGAGGCCAGGGTTAATGGTAATACCAATAATAATAGTGCCTATTAACTTTTTGCTGAGAATATTATTTGCTTACTAATATGGAGGTTGAGAGTTCAATCCTAGGCAATGGCAGATGTTTCTCTATCATAGTGCAAAGAGAAAATATCTGCTGCAAACTCTGTGTAGGTGTCAGGAAGGGCATCCAGCCAGTAAACTTTCAGCTCCATTCAGTCACCCTGACTCTACCCCAAATAAAGGTATTAAAGGTTCATAGAAAGAAAAAGATTGCTTGCTTTTGTATTGTTAGTCCGGTTTTCTTCAGTATCATTTTAAGTGCAATAACAATTTCTATTGTCTAGTTGGGGTATTTGATTGTATTAATCATTTTATACAGAAAGGTAGTTTAAAAATAATTGAAATGCATAAATGATGTATGACTGCAGTATTAATGTGAAGGATTAATGTATAACCTGAGAAGCACTGCTATTAGCTATCAAGTCAGTG